AATGTAAAATTGTGACTGTGAATGGAAATTTTTTATTGTAAATTGTTGATGTCAATTTCTATGAATTTGTGAATCGAGGAGTGGATTTGGGAATAATTTGAACTGATGTTGATGGAGGCGAATGGAGCGGTGTCGCTCCGTCATTTTTTTTTAACCTGGGCCACTATTTTCACAGGCGCTGGTATAACACAACCGCGAGCGAAAATCATTTATCGCTGGTGGCCGACATAACACAACCACCAGCGAAAATCGATTATCGCTAACGGCCAATAACCGCTAGCGAAGTTCTTGATCTTCACTGGCCTTTATTTTGTGGCGGTACCAAATACCGCCAGCGAAAACCTAAAATGGCCGCCACGAAAGATGGTTTTCATAGTAGTGACTGATCTCCTGATGTAATGGTTAATGCATGCAAGCATCACAGACTACAGCACTCCTAATTAGCTACCCTTCATATTATAAGTTGTTTGATATTTTCTCTAGTCAAATTTTATTAAGTTTGGCTAAGTTTGTAGAAAAATTTAACCATTATCTAAAATATGAAATTTGTTTCATTAAATCTAACATTGAATATATAGTTTGATAATATGTTTGTTTTGTGTTGAAAATAATACTATATTTTTCTATAAATTTGGTCAAACATAAAAATATTTAACTATGAAAAAAAATCAAACGACTTATAATATAGAACGAAGAGAGTACTAATAATGGTTAATTAGTGGTAGCATGCATGATGGGAGGCATGCATGTCCTTCCTTTCCAAAGTTCATTTATTCCCTAAAAAAGGTAACAACATGCTGTGTCTTGGTTGATATGATCCCCAGCCAAGAAATCAGACAAGAGGCAAGGACGATAGATAGCCTCAAAAAGTACTAGCTAACACACTAACCTAATTCATTCATCCTTCATGAACAGAATGATTCTAATCGACTGTAATGAGTCAATATACATTGTCATTTTTCATAAGGCAATACTGAAGAATACCATCGCAAAGATTTCAAAGATGAAAAGTACTATTTCATATGTCAATGACTCATAGTGATTAAAAAAGTAAATTAGAAGGGTGGAGCGAGGTTCTCGGTTCGCTCCATATATACATAGCTCCACTGCTGACTACATTTTTCGAGGAATACTTAGAGCCCAACCAAACATGCCCATATTTCATACCGGAGCATATCCTAGTTAAAAGAAAAAGTGAGCCACAAAGTCACTATCACATAGCTTTCACAAGTGAACAAACTTCCACCCTAGAGCACACGCAAAAGTACAACACCCACCCTAGATCACACGCATGTAGAAGTTCTCTACTAGGGTCCATTGAGCTTATCAGTAGAAGCCAAAAATTTAAATTTCAAATCTTAGTTTTATAGTTGATTTGATTTTTTTTTATTATAGTTTATTTTTTATCATTGACTTTTAAGTAGCTAACAACATACACATAATAGTCTTATTAGTAAATAATTCTTTTATCGTTAAGAAACATTACGATTATAATCAGCTGTATAGGTGAAACGGTTAGACTGGCACGCACGATAACACAACAATCGTTGGTCACTCCCCTGTATTATACGTCCTCCGTTTTATAATGTAAGTCTTTCTAGTATTGTCCACATTCATATAAATGTTAATGAATCTAGACATATATGTGTATCTAGATTCATTAACATCTATATGAATATGAGCAATGCTAGAAAGTCTTACATTATGAAACGGAGGGAGTATGTCAGAGAGAACGAAATGTTTGGCAAATTGCGGCCGGCCGAGGAGGTTGACTGCCAATAATGTGGGAGCTAGTACGAATTATTCGTTATTTCAACCTGCAGAAGACAAGATAATACAGAGAGTAGATATAGAAGTTTACGAAGACAAGATATAGAGAGGACATATTAGATATAGAAGTTTACGCAGGGACGGACAAGAACATCAACAGCCACCATATAGGAATCATTGGTCGTTCCTTCGCTGTCGGTTGTAGATCGAGACCTGTCGCAACGTTCGACGGCGATCGATCGATCGACAATCGTCCTGAGTTTGGTGGTGAATCCACATCGGGTTTGAAGGTAACCAAAGTGAGAAAATGACTAGTTTTGCAAAACGTGGGATGTACAGATTTACCGTGTATACTACTCCCTCCATTTCAGGTTATTTTAGGTTATAAGACGTTCTGACTCTGGTCAAAATCAAACTCTGTTTTAAGTTTAACTAAGTTTATAGACAAATATAGTAATATTTATAATACCAAATTAGTTTCATAAAATCAATAATTGAATATATTTTCATAATAAATTTTTCTTGGGGTTAATAATGTTACTACTTTTTTCTATAAATTTGGTCAAACTTAAAGCAGTTTGACTTTGACTAAAGTCAAAACATCTTATAACTTGAAACGGGGGTACTCTTTTTGCTCTGAAATATATATAAGATATGTTACACATACTCTCTCTCCGGTTTTAATATATAACGTCGTTGACTTTTTAAGATATATTTGACCATTCGTCTTATTAAAAAAATATATGTAATTATTATTTATTTTATTATGACTTGATTTATTGTTAAATGTTCTTTAAGCATGACTTAATTTTTTTTATATTTTGAATAAGACGAATGATCAAACGTTTATTAAAAAAGTTAACGAAGTTAAATATTAAAAAACAGAGGTAGTATATTATATAGGTAAAATCTATTATATATTTTAGAACACACGTAGTAGATGATACTCAATACTCACTGTCAAATGGGTACTAGGATTACTGTAGGAAGAAAGATGAATAATTAAAGCCAGGACATGATTGCTCGCTCTCTTACTAATTACTCCATCCACTGCTACAGAATTGATTTATCTAAGTGAGACCCCTTTTAAATTACAGGTGGACTATAACTGATCCCGTATGCAAAAATCAATCCCCTGAACACAGTTCAATAACCACATAAGAAAATCAGGGAGAGGTCCCCAGGTGAGCCTTTTAACAAGCCAGCATGCAAAAATAGATGCGGACCTAGATCTCTTAAGAAACCAGCGTGTGAATATACCCCTCTCCTTGGTTTTTTCTCCACTAAGTCCTCACGTCCCCCCTCCTCACTTCTACTCCTCCCTCTCCTCGCACTCCTCTCCCAGTACTCCTCCCCTCTCCTCCACTCCCAATGAGAGAATGGTGGGCGAGAGCGAGGACATTAGTGGGCAATGGTAGCGACAATGGGAAGGGCAGATCCGGCGGCCGCTCCCCCTCCCGCACAGATCCTGCCACTTCTACGCCCTAGTGTAAAAATCCGGACCGGACCGGCGATTCAACCGGAAAAAACCGGAACCAGAGATTGGCACGGTTCGGTTGAATAGAAAGAAAAAATTAGAACAAGAGGTTGGCACGGTTCGGTTGAATAGAAAGACTCTCGCGGACATGCAATTGAACCGCTTCAGACCGCTTGAACCGGCCGGTTTTGCGATGAACCGGTCAATAAACCGCCTTCGGTCGGACCAAACTAAAACAAGTCAGTGAATGAATGGGCCACACGACGGCCTAGGTAGCGTGGCCTAGGTAGTGTGTTTTGGGCCATACTTGTCCGCGGGCTTGATTTTTTCAGCAAAAATTGATGGAAATGCGCGCGCTTGTGGGGAGTCGACCCATCCTACCATCCAGATCTATGTGATTTTATTGAAACATATATGCTACATGTAGTTAGTGAACCGCGGTTCGACCGGCCGGTTCACAGTTAGACCGTTAAACCGGTGAACCAGCAGGGTGACCGGGTCGTCTAGCGGTCCGGTTTTTTCCACTATGTTCTACGCACCACACGAACGCGGAACTGCCGGTGGCAGTGACGGGAGGGGCGGATCCTACGCTCCCTCCTCCTCCCGTGCAGATTCTGCCGCCTCTCCGCCCCCACCCACATGCGCGAAGATCTGCCGGTGCCGGTGCCGGGAGGGACGGATCCGACGCCCCCTCCCCTTCCTGCAAGATCCAACTGCCTCTCTGCCCCTCCCCTCCCCCCGCGCATGCGACTATCCGTTGATGGCTTCATGCGATGACAACAATGATGGCGGAGGCGGCGGCAGCAGCTTTGAGTGAGGATGAGGACGATGATGACGAGGATCCACCGGTGGCTTCGAGCGACGACAATGATGATGGTGATGGAGGCCTCGAACGACGATGACAACAGCATTAACTTCTGGATTCTTGGGTTGTTTTGATTTTTGGACTTTTTTTTGTGATTTTTTCTTTTCACAATTGGATGACTTAAACACCCGTAAGCAAAAAATCGGATTTTCGCATGTGGTTGCTCCAACTATATGTGAAAATCTGATTTTCGCATACACCTGGATACATGCGGTCCACCCACCCGAATGCAAAAATTGGTTTTGATCATAAGGAAAAAAAAGTCTTTCCTCCTTCCATTTATATATTAGATTGACTGAACTAACATACCAACGTTATACATACTAGATTGACTGAACGTCATCGATCAGCTCGATGGTATATTTTTGGAAGCTGTGTGCATGGCTCACTGCAAATAGCGTGTAATTGATTGGTGAAAGCAAAATGGATTATAGATTGCAGTAAGCTAGGCATTCAGAAGGGCTCGACTTGGCATACAGACCGACGACGCCATCGCTTCACTATCCTTATACTTTTTGATACTACTTATTTGTAACAAAATTAATTTATACTGTATGTTAGATATTCGGTTTTCTACATCAAAGTGCACATAATAAAAAACACAACCACAGATATGCAAGAGATACATTACGTACGTAAAAGTAGTATAAGCACTAGGTGCATCATTTATTGGTTCAAAGCAAAAGGAAAATTACATATATATATATATATACACAAACTAATAACACAATCACACGGTCACTTGTAGACATGACCATATTGGAAATCGTTCTTGTTTTGTACATATACTCCCTCCGTTTCACAATATAAGTCATTCTAGCATTTCCCACATTTATATTGATGTTAACGAATCTAGATCTCTATATTCATTAACATCAATATAAATATTTATCTAGATTCATTAACATCAATATAAATATGGAAAATGCTAAAATGACTTACATTGTGAAACGAAGGAAGTAGCATATATATGTATAGTACGTAGGGTCTTTCTTTTTAGAACTGTATATAGCATATGGACTAGTACTGAATTTTACATAACAACAATTATAGGTATAGCAATACGCACGTAAGTATATACACAGATGACGTCATTATTATCCCGACTTCCGAGGCAAAGAGCGAAGCACCGTACGTCGACGTCAAACCAAACAGCAGCTCAATTAATTTCGTCTCACATGATGGCGCACACGTCGGAGTTCTCCTCGCAGGCGAACTTGTAGCCCCCACACGGCGGCGGCGGGTAGTAGTAGAAGCTAGGCTGCGGCGGCCAGATCGCCGGCGGCGGCGGCGGCGGCGGTTTGCAGCTGGCGCCACAGGCGCCGCCATCGCTGATCGAACACCCGCCGGCGCACGGCGGGACTGCAGGTTTGTTGCAGCCGCCGCCGTGGCCGCCGCAGTAGGTGCATTCGCACGGCTTCGGCTTCGGCGGCGGCGGCGGCGGCTCGGGGCAGCAGTGGTAGCACTGCTGGGTACTGGGCGGGCAGCACGACGGCGGTGGCGGCGCTGGGTACGGCACCGGGAACGGCACCAGCTTGCACACCTGCTCCTTGGGCGGCGGCCAAGCGTCGACGGTCTTGATGTCCTTGACGACCTTGCCGCCGGCCTTGCAGCAGATCTTGTTGCGGAGGCAGCCGGCGTCGAACTTGCCGCGCACGATCACCTTGTCGTCCTTTTCCTCGAACTCCGTCTTCTCGATGCAGTACTCCGCTGCATCGATCGCACACATTTTCAAAAATAAATACTCCCTTGCTATTTTAATGTATAACGCATACACTTTTACGATCAATGTTTGATTATTCGTCTTATTTATTTTTTTTTCAAATGTAAAAATATTTATATCATGCTTAAATAACATTTGATGATAAATCAAAGTCACAATAAAATAAATGATAATTGCATATTTTTTAATAAGATAAATGGTTAAACGTTGATCAAAAAATTAACGGCGTTATACATTAAAATGTGTAGGAAGTTTAATGATTAAGGATCATTTTATTATTCTTAAGAATCTATACCTAGAAGTATGGGCGGAAGCATGGGCGGAAGTAGAACAAAATGAAGGGGGTTATACTCGCTTGCTTTACTCAGGTTTGGATCGAATTTAGCTTGATAGGGGTGTCTAGGTTTGGATTGATGGGATAGATATATGATGAAAATAGATAAATTGTAGCTACAAAAATTTCTGATCCGGGTCCTGGTACCCCTAAATATATGTAGCTATGCCCCTTACCTTGAGGTATTTTATTTTCTAGTGTAAAATTTAGGTACATCAAAGTGCTATCTCGAGAACTGTAAAATTTAACATTGATCGACTCCCCTCAGAATTATTGATCAGTTCGTAATACAATTTCATGCACGATGAGAAACAATCAAATGAATTAAACCACTCGTCCACGCCACAAAATCAACCTGGCTGGTATATACTCCCTCCGTTTCAAAATGTTTGACGCCGTTGACTGTTTTAAACATATTTTATCGTTCGTCTTATTCAAAAAATTTAAGTAATTATTAATTATTTTCCTATCATTTGATTCATTATTAAATATATTTTTATGTAGGCATGTAATTTTACATATTTCATAAAAGTTTTTGAATAAAACGAACGGTCAAATATGTGCTAAAAAGTCAACGGTGTCAAACATTTCGAAACGGAGGGAGTATGCTATTATAGTTTGGAACCTGAAAATATTCTCAATATTGGTTTCGACTTATATTAAGGTCAGTTTCACTTTCATGCAGAAATTAGCTAGTTTATATATACCTTTGAGGCAGTCCAGGACCTTGGTGATCTTCGCCCTGCAGCGGCAGCATTTCAGGTCTACCGTGATGACCAGTATAGACGCCCCCATCTGCAGATTACACACGTACAACATGCAGAATTAAGATCTTTAGATAATAGACAACATATATGCTAGTAATATTTGCTTCAAAAAAATATATGCTAGTAATATATGCAGGTTTTACTCCAGCCGAGTTATTAAGCACGTCTAGAACACGCGAGTTTTGCAGGATTAATTAACTTTACAACAAGAAGATCACTTTTTTTTTCAGAAAATTCAAGAAACAAATCACTTCTAGATTCATGGAAACAGGGGTGGAGGTAGAGTATGGGAGAGGGTGCCCAGAAACCCGGTTAAGAAAAAATTTTAGCTATACCTCATCGATTTTCACCATGTATGCAAATACAAACTTAGACACCCGTATCAGTTTAAACTTGATCTAAAATAGAGTAAATTAAGCAAGAGGCACGTTGATCATGCACGCATGAAATTAATTCTTAGTTATTTTTCGTCTAATATATCGAAAACAAAATTCTAATTAAGTTATTGGATTGCAAACTAGTGCATGCCTATACAGTTCTAGGAAAACTTGATCAGTGTCGACGTTGATCAGGTCAGCACAAGGATTAATTACTATATATACCATGTACTATGGCAACTATAGTAGTATTACTACAAGTTAAAAAAAAGTCTGGGACTATGTTAATAATCTCACCTTAATTTGAATGCTGAAACGGAAGATGAGTATGGGGAGATCGAGATGAAGCAGAAGAGAGGTGAACACTTGGGGTACTTATATTATGTTTGGATACGCTGAATCCTTCCGAATTATTGGTGATGCAGAGAGTTTTGTCAGTCAGCAGCTCTAGGGTTCATGACTTCCTGACTTCCTGTTTCAACGATGGGTAGGTACACGTAAGAGACAGAAAACGATTGTTTACTGTGCCCTTGTTTTAGTCCTAAACATTTTATTCAAACTACCAATTTTTCTATCACATCAAAACTTTCCTACACACAAAAACTTTTAACTTTTACATCACACCGTTCCAATTTCAACAAAACTGCTAATTTTGGTGTGACCTAAATATAGCTTGGTCTTCCTCGTATCTTCTTGTCCTCTGTAATAAGTTTCTTTGATGTATGTTATACTCTGTTTTACTTTTGTCATTTCATATATTACTACCTTCGTCCTAAAAAGATCATAGTTTTACACTGTTTATGTTGAACGTTTTAACGTCCGTCTTATTTAAAAAAAATTATAATTACTACTTTTGTTGTTATTAGATGATAAAACATGGATAGTACTTTATGCGTGACTATTTTTTAAAAAAAATTCATATTTTTTAAAAATAAGACGGATAGTTAAACGACGTTAGACATGGAAACATATAACAGTTAAAGTGGGACAAAGGTAGTATGATTTTCTTTCATGAACATTGTCGTATGGACATGCTGCAACTTAATTTAGATTTAATTCCTCAGGAAAAAGAAAGGGTCGTTTTGGATATATTTAAGTTAAACTTTATGAAATTTTAGCATGCGATTTTCAGATAATTATTCAGCTCGAAACGTGCATCTCGAACAGTTTTACTAGAATTTTGTCAAAAACCCATTCGAATTTAGCAAAAAGGAAAAAAAACAATGTCTTCTAGGGCTCGAAATCCGCTAGCCAATCGAGATTGTAAACTATGAAGGTTGGTGATGTAAAAATATTTCTATTATAGATAAAAAGTTAATTTCACTTTGGGCCATATTAATTTTATTACTAAAGTTTTACTTTGGACCACCATATATCCAATCTTTTCACTTTAATATGGATTATATTGAGCTAATCCATATGCTCCGTGTATTTTGGAACTGACATGGAGAGAGAAAAAGAAGGAAACAATAGTAATAAGTAAAATAGTAATTTTTAGGTTAATGATGAGAGTCCTTGTCGTCTTAATTACCTAATGTAGGAGAATAGTCTCTAAATAAAAAAATGTATTATTTAAGAGTTCATATCATCGGACTCTACATCTGAAGATGAGGTAACGTATATACAACTATACAAAATAACTAACTCATATAAAACTATACAAATTATATGTTATAGATGAACATATATAGGTTTCAAAGTTTCGGACAAAATTTCCAAAATTTTAGAAATTTCGGGTCCATCGGACCCTTGATATGAAATTATTTTGCCCTAATTTTTTATTTTTGCAAGTTTTTGTGATATTGGCCAAATTTTGTTAAAAATTCAAATGATTTTAGACCAAAATAACCAAAAAAAAATTCCAAAATTTCGGTCGTATGGTACCCCAAAATAATTATCAAAACTGAAAAATTGAACCCTAGATGAATAGCATGGACTATAAACAAAAGCGCGCCAACTGGCGTGTTTAGATCCATGTAAAGTTTTGGCGTGTCACATCGAATATTATATAGGATGAATCCGTCAGTAAACTACGAGACGAATTTATTAAGCCTAATTAATTCGACATTAGCCAACGTTTACTGTAGCACTACATTGTCAAATCATGTAGCAATTAGGCTTAAAAGATTCGTCTCGCAAATTGGTCGTAATCTGTGCAATTAATTATTTTTTAACCTATATTTAATACTTTATATAGGTGATAAACGCTTGATGTAACGGGATGAAAAATTTTGGGTGATCTAAATAGGGCCTGAATCAATATTGTTAGCACACGTTCCTATAATTTTTATTAATGACAAGCTGTGGCAAAGCTTTGGAGGTTGAGCCCTTGACCACGCCATGTTTTTGGGTTACAACGCTTTGTATATTGTCGTGTGCGACGTGTGTATGGGCCTCGATTCATGCGTTACATGTTCTAAAAAAAAGAGACTCGTGCGTTAGAACAGTGTAAGTGGAAAATAACGTGACAACTTGTTCAAAATTACGGACTTGTACGAAATAACGTGACAATGTGTACCAAAAATAACTTGTACAAAACTGACATATTTATGAATGTCAATCTGATACAATTTATAAATCGAACGTGACAACTTATACAAGATGGCAGGACATTAGGTGTGAGATCCAACATGTGTGAAACCTCAGGTGTGAAACCCGATGTGTCAGCCATATGACTTGAACTCGTGTGACACCGTACCCGATCGATGTGTCAACCGTATGACTTGAACTCATTCTATGGGTACAACCTTAGGTGTGATACCCGACGTGTTAACCATATGACTTGAATTCGTTTGATGGGTACAACTTTTGGTTCACATTGAATATATATTATTTGATTTCAAATGTAAAGGTAGATGTTTTTTTTTTGGCTATCCTACTTGTCATTTGCTGCCACAACCATATACGAAGTATATCGCAGGCACATGCTCATTGCTTCACCAAGCTCTCTCTCCGTTCGTATATATCTTGAAGAAATGTGCAAAATTTGCAACATTGCTTACTTCAGTAGCTAAGATTTTCTTATGGTAGTGTTTTGGGTGCACTGGATCCATAACTCCGATCGACCGAGCTGATTTTTGTTAAGACATCAAAATACTTTTTTTAAAAAAAAAATCTGTAACCTTCAGAGGCACTAACCCGTTGCATGTGAGTAAAATGTTCTTTAATTTGTCCGAGGTTGCTCACAGATGCTGTGTTGATTAACCTTAACGCAAGTGCAACGTCACCCACTTGAACACGTACGGTATAGGTATATTAATTAGTACTATATATAATCGCATCCCTGTCACCATTGCATATTTATTAGAGAAAAAGACTGAATAGCTGATCACCAACTATAATGGTTAATGTGGCGTAGCTAGCTATAGGTGGCACTGTGGGTCATGAACCACCTAAAATTTTAATCAAGATTAAAACTAAGTATATATGCTAGTTAATATAATAAAAATTATATAATGTATCATCCTTTTAATTGACCTATTATATATAGATGTGCCACCTTTATTATAAATCCTAGCTAAGCAACTGATTAACGCATGCAAGCATCACATACCATACAGGACTCCTAATCAGCTACTACTAATAATGATTAGTGCTAGCATGATTGGCGGCAGGCGTCCTTCCTTTTTTTTCACAGTTTATAAATTCCCTAAAAAAGGTGACAAGTGACAACATGCGCTGTGTGTTGGTTGATATGTTCCCCAGCCAAGAAGTCAGACAAGAGGCAAGGACGAGACAGCCTCCTATACTAGCTACCGACCTAATTCATCCATCCTTCATGAACAGAATGTTTCTAATTGACTGTAAAATGAGTCATGGAAGTCATAATTTAATCTAGCTAGCTAGGCTCAACAAAAAGGTAGGTGGTTTTGATCACTGACAATTGGCTAGCCTGGTATGTAATCCATTTCTTGTTTCAGGGATCGATGGCCTTTCTAAATCCGCCCCTGGTTTATTCATGTCAATAGTGCATGTGAGGTTAACAACAACACTATGCCGGCCACTGCCAGCCTTCCCCTATAGTTAAATGAAATGGCTATATATATGTTGAGTGGAAATTGAGTGGAGTTTGGAGCGTGTACGTGTTGGCTCTCTGTACGTATAGCCAAACCTCTTCAGTTTGAAAATATATAAGAGTTGGGGGAAATTAATTAAACACGTTTAACGAGTGGGTTCAGTTCAAAATTGCTCCAAATACAATTATAAATCAAAATAATGAGAAGTCCTAGTTAGGAAGTAGTAGATATTATTATTATTATTATTATTATTATTATTATTATTATTATTATTATTATTATTATTATTATTATTATTATTATTATTATTATTATTATTATTATTATTATTATTATTATTATTATTATTATTATTATTATTATTATTATTATTATTATTATTGGGATGAGTAGTGGAGTAGGGAAAACACTAGAGTCGGGATTGAATTCTCGGTTGCAGCACAAGCAACATCGCAACTGACCAATCGAGCGGGTTCACTGTAGACCCCTATCGGTAGATATGACGTAGTCCAATATAATGGGTGTAATTGTATTAAAACACAATTCATACTGACATATATACATTAAAAATGAATGCTATATACTGGGCGTGTTCGGCTGCCATTCTTGCGGCAGCGCTGCGGCTGCAGCGCTTGGTTGTGCGGCTGCAGCTGTGCTGCTTGCTGCTGCAGTTAGCTGCCATGCAGCTGCGAAAAATGACAGCCGAACAGGCCGACTAACATGAAAAACAATTTTCAAAGACCCCCATCCTAAACTATACAGGCTGGTGATTCTTTTAGGTCGAAACCCCTTCTATAGAATTGTAAACCTTCGAAACCCTTATAAAAAGTGGCGGTGGGAGAGCCTGGGGAGGTGATCGAGCATAAGCTTGCCCTCCCCTGATTTTATTTCTATTGCAACTATTGTAGTTTGAGTAAAATTTAAGTAAATTTAGCACTGTTTCCCGCTTTAGCAAATAAATTTTAGGGTTGTTGGCTTCAAAATAACCCCCATGCAGTAGTTGCACTCATCAGCACTCTTGCCTCTTAGCTGGAACTGGTTGAGCAAAATATATATACATGTCAAATATATAGACAACAAATTACATACATGTATATACTGTATACACACAACAAATTACATGTGTAGTAATATAGACAATTAATAAAATTACATGATTTAATTAAGAAAAAAATACCACACCAGACATAAGTAATTAACGCGTTTAATTATTCCGATTTCCGAGGCACGTACGGCAGCTGTTCGATCACATGACAGAGCATCCCTCCGGCTGCTCATAGACGACGTAGCCGCCGCCGCCGCACGGCGGCGGCGGGCAGACGGGCTGCCACGGGCACGGCGGCGGCGAACAGCAGGGCTTCTTGCAGCCGCCGCCGCCGCCCCCGCATTCCCCGCCGTGTCCTCCTGAACAGCCGCCGCCGCAGCCGTCGACGCCGCACTTGCACCGCGGCGGCGGAGGCACGCAGCCGCCGCAGCACGGCTTAGGCTTGTCCGTCGCCGTCTTGTTGCACGGCACCGGGTAGGGCACCGGGTACGGGAACGGCACCATCTTGCACGCCGGCGGCTGCTTGTTGCAGTGCTCCCTCTCCACCATGATGAAGGCCTCCGCGGTGGCCTTCGCCGCCGCCTCCGCCGCGGCGACGGCCGTGGCGGTGACGTCGGCCTTGACATTGACGGTGACCGCCGGCGGCGGCGGCGGCCACACCTCGACGATGACGATGCTGACGATGATCTTGCAGCCGGCCTTGCGCCAGATGCACGTGCGGAGCTCCTCCGCGCAGAAGCTTCCCCGGACGATCACCTTCTCGCCCTCGTACTCGATCTTCTCGATGCAATGCTTGCCTGCATCGATCAGACAGACAGACAAATCAACACAGGTACATTCAGAAAAAGAATTCAGAAACTCTTGATCTTAGTTTGCAGAGATGCAGTTTCAGAAACAGAAATTAAAAGGAGATCGAATCAAGTTGGGTGTGTAGTATACATCTGAGGCAGTTGAGGATCTTGTCGATCTTCTCCTTGCAGCGGCAGCATTGCATGTTCACCGTGATCACAAGTATAGCCATCGTTGCTTGATCGAGATGGTGGTTAGAATTATGGAGGAGATATGATGGAGCAGCAGAGCTGAACCCTATCGAGTTACTTATTGAGGCTGAAGGCCTCGCGTTTGGTCCGTCCGATCGATCGTGCCTCTACGGTGCCGACAGCAAAGAGAGATGGAAAAGGGACTGCAGTTGGTACATAGGACAGTTTGATCCTTTTCACGCCCTGTCCTCTTTAATTTCTTATATCTCCATTCTCATAGTTGGCTGATGGTTTTCTTTATTATTGCATATATTTTATTCACAATTGATCCTTTTTGTTGAGAACTTTCTTTTAGTGCAAATCATGCAAGATAGCTTTCACTGTAAAAAAAATAAATCATGAAATCGACCTCCCAGGTATGTTGTTACGTATATCGGCCTACGTAATCAGAGTATGTAATCAACCGTGAAACTCACACAATCGTGAAAATTGATCTCCCAGATATATGTACAGTTACATATATCGGCCTATGCAATCAAAAGCAAGTGGAACTCACATGATCGTGAAATTGACCTCCCAGATATATATGTAGTTACATATCACCTACGTAATCTGCCAATGTAATCAGCAGTGGAACTCATGCAATGTTGAATCGGGCATGTTATTGTCTAATCGTACTCTTTATTTTCTTTAATTTTCTTAAGGATTGTAATCCTTCGAAATTCTTTTAAACAATGGCGAAGGGAAGGGGAGGAGAGCATATATAGGCTTGCCTGATTTTGTGGATTTTCAATGTGATTATTGTAGCACGAGTAAAATTCAAGTAAATTAGCACTGTTGACAACTTAACAAATAAATTTTATGGTTTTTGACTTCCAAATAATCCCCATGGCATGAGGAAGTTAAAGTACTCTTGCCTCTTATTGATGCATTGGTTGATAATTCATCACATTGGACAAAATACATGTCAAATTTACACAGCCAATTGCATGCATATGTAATATATATAGACAAGAAATTACAAGATTTAACACAAAGATTCTTGTACACAGTTTTGGCTAGCTGGCACTGTATGATTTTGTGACCATATTCCACGCAGTATACAGAGCACACCACCAGTCCACACAAACAATGCCAGAATAAACATGGTAAAATTTACTACAGTACATGCATCATAGATTTGTGGCCATTTACCTTAGGACACTCCAGAAACATTGTCTTTTGCCATTGGACACTCCGGTTTGGTGATAATTTGCTAAAAACACTATAACCATTATTTTATCATTTTTGGCTTCAACTGCTAGAGAATTTAATTTCAAAAAAGGATGCTTTTACACTCATTTCAAATTGCAAAAAGGATGCTTTTACACTCATTTCAAATTGCATGCTCAATCCAGCTTTATTGAAGATTTTTTTTTAGACGATTGAGATAGAATGGAAATTTCAATAAAAAAACTGGAAAAAAAAGCTGAATTCAAACAAATTTGTTGAGTTCAAACTGGCTTATTTTTTAGAAAATTACCACCAAATCCAGAATGTGCTATGGCAAAACCACATTTCTAAAGCGCCCTACATCAGATACCACAAATCAATCTAGGATGCATGTCTCGTACCAAATTTCGCCAAATATAAACATCGGCGTGTGGCGTTTATTCCGATTTCAATTCAGACTGTACTGTCCGATCGATCGATCGATCACATGACGGAGCATGGACCAACCTCCTGCTCGCACACCATGACGTTCACGTTGCAGTTGCAGCTGCCGCCCCACTGCGACGAGCAGTGCCGCTGCTGGCAGAAATGCTGCGGCGGCGGCGGGCACGGCGGCCGCGGACACGGCGGCGGCGAGCAGGGCCGCAGGCACGGCGGCGGCGAGCAGGACCGCTGCGGGCATGGAGGCGGCGGCCGGGGGCACGGCGCGGCGAGCAGGGCCGCTGCGGGCATGGCGGCGGCGGCGGTGCGGGCAGCACTTGCAGGGCACGGGGTATGGCACCGGGTACGGGAACGGCACCATCTTGCACCCCGGCGGCTTGCCGCCGCAGTGCTGCTGCAGCCCCCTCTCCTTGATGACGACGGCGACGGCGGCCCTGGCGGCCGCCTCGGCGGCGGCCTTGGCCTCCGCGGTGACCTCGGTCTTGACGCTGACGTTGACCTCCACCGGCTTCGGCTTCGGCGGCGGCCACAACTCGACGATGACGATGCTGACGATGACCTTGCATCCGGCCTTGCGCCAGATGCACTTGCGGAGCTCCTCCGCGCAGAAGCCTCCCCGGACGATCACCTTCTCGCCCTCGTACTCGATCTTCTCGATGCAATGCTTACCTGCATCGAATCATCCATCGATCAGACAGACAAATCAACACATGTACGTACATTCAGAAAAAGAATTCAGAAACTCTTGCTCTTAGTTTGCAGAGTTGCAGTTTCAGAAACCGAAATTAAAAAGAAGAATCAAGTTAGGTGCATATATACATCTCAGGCAGTTGAGGATCTTGTCGATCTTCTCTTTGCAGCGGCAGCATTGCATGTTAACCGTGATCACGAGTATAGCCATTGTGATCAGTCACTGCCAGTGATCGAGCAGGGGAGCAAGCTAGGAAGAGAGAAAGCTGGTTAGTTAGAAATGGAGGAGATGGAGCAGCAGAACTGAACCCTATTGCCGTTACTTATGCTGTTTTTGGGGGTAATATTCGTATGAGGGCTCTCACAAGGCTGAAGTCGTGTTTCTCTCGACCGTCCGATCGCGTCTCTGCGGTGCCGACAGCAAAGAGATGGAAAAGGGACTGCAGGTTGCTATATAGGACAGTTTGGTCCTTGTCACGCCTTGTCCTCTTTGGGTTCTTAATCTTCTAGTTGGCTAATGGTTTTCTTGTAGTTATATGTATTTTTCTCAAGATTGATTTTTTCTTGATAACTTTGTTTGGTGCGAATCATGCAAGATAGCTTTTCGCTGCGAGAAATCGTAAAATCGACCTTCCCAGATATCTAGCTACGTATATCGGCTTACGCAGTCGATTTACGTTATCAGTAGTGGAACTCACACAACATTGAACGTGGCATGTTATTGGCTATCATGAATTCGCTAATAAAATAAGTGTTTCTATGAAAATAGTTAGCAATCATGCATTCAACTATTCTTTTTCATAATATATTTGCTAACTACTGTATTTTTCTTGAACGTAAACCACTTTTCGATAGCTTGGGTTGCTCTAATTAATGGTCATGTAGCTCTATAGACTCTAACCCTACACTAGCCTTCCCACTCTCCTCCATGACCCTTCAGCCATCGTTGTCCAAGGCTCCCATGCACCACCTCCCTCTACCGCGCATTGGCACTATGAATCGCCCACTTACTTTTTTTTTTGTTATCTTCCTTCCCTTTTCCCTTGTTTAGATTCCCTAGTCTCTAGTTAGCTCATGCCACCGAGTATACGTCCTTTGTATTAATTGCTTCATACTTGGTGGAACTCATTAGGTGTTTTAGGGCACCACATATATCGGAATAGCGATAGATTGGAGTTAGAGGTGGTGATGGTGGTACTAATTAACAACCAAGCACAAGCTTGGAGGAGGGCAGAACAATGACAAGGATAAAATGGTTAGCTTATTGACACACTAGGAATGTGTAGTAAGGCAAGCCACCCTGGCTTTAGAATGTGATAATATGATTATCGAAGGTTGCAATATTGACATAAATATTAACTATTTTTGTTGAATTTTGTGAATGGCTAATGTTTTCGAGCTTCGATGCATAGTGTAGTCTTTCCTAGATCATTTTCCTCTTTTCAAAAAGCTCTGGGTATGTCATGTTGAAAGAGAGCATCGACCATTAAGGCGCAGACTAGCAGCCAACCCTTCAAGGAGATGTCCCTTCGTGTACTTTTTTTTAATTCAACGCAAATAGTTATAAATTATTTTGAAAAACATTGACAATATAGAGTGCAGCGATATCTATCACTCCACCGAAAATCGTGTTCAATTTTGACCTATATATTGAGAGAAAAAAAGATAAATTCAGGTATAATAGTATCACTACTATTCATATGCTAAATTTATCATTTTTTATATATCTTAATGTGTAAGTTGAATTTGCACCTATAATTTTATACATTGCTATATAGATATGTTGTCAATTTTTTAAATGTTGTTTCTAACTATTTGAATGGTTTTTAAACAAACAAGGAGACATTTTCTCGAGAGATCAAAACAGTTTCCCAGCCAAAGGCATTTCGGACTTGGCGAGGATTGCATCACTATAAAAACAATTTTCTCTTGTAGCTAGGCCTCCCCTTCTTTCTATATAGCTCATGCAGCTTCCTTTCTTCCTGCAGTCCATGTGCTCAATATAGTTGGATCAAATTAATAGCCTTCATCAGTTAGTTAGCAAAGTTGAAATAAAATTCGGTTCGACTTTGTTGCTTAGGTCTCACAAATTGCAGCATGCGCGTTAGTATCTTAGATCTCTGTTGTTGGTAGTGCTTCTGGTGCACCCAATCCATACATATATAACTCAAACATGAATTAATTTGTTAAGACATCAAGATAGATGTGCTTTCGAAAATTTCTAACCCAGACGCCAACCTGTAGCATGTCAGAAAGTTGTTTGTCCTAGGTTGTTTCATAGATGCTATGCACTAACCCTTCCATTGGACCATCACCCACTCGGACTTTCCTACATATATATAGTTGCATCCCGGTCAGTATTCCATCTGTACAGTTAGAGAAAGACTGAATAATATAATTAGTCTAAAAAATATAATTGTCAATCCAAGCATGCATCACACCGAAGAACTCTTACTTACCTACTAATCATTCATACATATAGTGCTCGCATGATTGGAGTTGAGGCATATATCAGCAACTAAAAGTAGTGTGGATCCAAAATAAACACTAGTTACCCTCAAAATGACGACACTATGCAGTGTGTTTAATTTGGTTTGATCTTAGCTTGCCCGCTACTGATCGACCTGGCCACCACTAACCTACACAATGTAGAGATTATCTGTCCATCGGTCCTAGCATAATTAGGCATTTTCTAATTGATCCTCATGACTGATGATCAGTCCTAATCTAGGTTTAAACATAAAGTAGGATGGACAACCATTTGGTGATCCACTTGTTGTTTCAGACTGATCTTTTCTCTGAATCTGCCCTTGTTTTGTTCAGATCAATGTGACATTGTGATGTTATCAACCACTCTATGCATGCCTTACCTACTGTTAAACAAAGCTGCTATCTGTTAGTGGAGATTGGGTGGAGTTTGGAGAGTATGCATTGCTGTACGGCTAAATTAAATCTCTGTAGTTTTTGATAAGGGATATATAAAGCTCATTTAGTGGGAGCAGTTCAAAATTGCTCGGAATGCGCCAGTTGTTTTTACTCAAAATGAATTCATATCTAGCAAGTTGATTTTTGTACAATTCGTTAGCCTTTTCTAGAATCGATTTTATTATAATTTAATTAAAATAAAAAGGACACACAGATATAGTATATATGTAGTTGCACTGGTAAATATATGTGCCAATGAGAAATGGTTGACCAGTAGTAAGGCGATGTTTAAGAGACTGTAGCAACTACAACTTCTACAATTTTGGGCTCTCCAAAGAATTTAGATTCTTAGGTTTATTTGATAAGGCTGCAATTCTTAAATTTAACTCCAAGAACAAAGTCTAGAGTGAAATTATGAAGAGACCCGAACACAGCTCCACTCTTCTAGTTCGTTTTTTCAGATCATTTTACCCAGCTTCATTCTCATTTTAGGTCGAGCTGAAAGTGTTTGATTCAGCTCTGGAATTAAGAAATATGGTATTGAAAGCTAGAGCCCTGCCAAACAGATCCAAATTATAAGAATATATAGTGACGTAAGAAAAAAACAGAATATAGGAAACACAACCTTTTCATATTCCAAATAGTTGCTTTTTAAGATCTCAAGCTCCTCAAAGTCTAAATATAACGTAGCATAAGGGCTGATGTTTAGAGTCCAAAAGAAGAAATAGAGAAAAGAGATAATTATATTCGACTTTAATTACATATGAAATATGTCAATTATAGACAAAACAAATTACATATACGTGCCAAACATACACAACAAACTAATTACACATGTCAAATATAGACAAGAAACTACATGGTTTTAATTTTTAAGCACAAACATTATTCTTGTAGGCAGTTGGCTGCCACAATACTAATAATGAATGTGTTGTAATGATATTCAACTCACTTAGATTTACACACCACAGAGCGCCACGGACACAACGCCGGATTAACATCAACGTCGTGCGTTAATTTATTCATTCCGATTTCCGAGGCAAATTAATTACCGCTCAAAAATCACATGACGGAGCACGCGTTCTCGTCGTACTGACAGCCTCCGCCCCACGGCTGCTGCTGGCAGCACGGCGGCGGCGGCGCCGGGCAGTTGATCGGCGGCCTGTGGCCGCCGCACCAGCCGCCACAGTCGCCGTGGCCACAGCCGCCGCACCGGCTCGGCGGCGGCGGCGGCGGGCAGTTGATCGGCGGCTGGCCGCCGCACCAGCCGCCACAGTCCGCGTGGTCACAGCCGCCGCATCGGCTCGGCGGCGGCGGCGGCGGGGTGATCTTGCAGCCGCCGTGGCAGTGGTCGCGCGAGCAGTACTCGCACGCCTTCGTCTTCGTCTCCGGCGGCGGCGGCTTGGGGCAGCAGTGGCACTGCGTCGGGCAGCTCCCCGTCCACGTAGTGGAGGAGGTCTGGCAATGCTGCATCGGGGGGTAGTAGCACGGCGGCCACGGGTACGGCAGCGGCACCGGCGGCGGCGGCGGTGGCGTCGTCGTCTTCGGCTGCTTCTCCCCCTTATTACCGGCGCCATCAACTTTGGGCGGCGTAGCGGCGACCGTTGCGGCGGGCGGAGGATTCGCAACGGCGGGAGCAGGAGTAGTGCCACCAGCTGTCTCCGGCTTCTTCGGCGGCGGCCATACGTCAACGACGGCGATGTCCCGGATGAGCTTGCGGCCGGCCTTGCACCAGATGACGCTGCGGAGCTTGTCGGTGGGGAAGTTGCCGCGGACGATCACCCTGTCGTCCTTGTCCTCGTACTCCGTCTTCTCGATGCCATACTTGTCTGCACGCGCAACAGATCACACATCAAACAAAACAAGAAAACAACATTATTTACATCATAATTTTACAATACTTAAAAAAAGTATAATGAGCTATCATGTTTTCTATGTAAAACTTTATACCTATACTCTTTCGCTCTTTCGAGTACCACAAAATTTCTCTTATTTACAATGCATTGGGGGAGACAGAAAACATAATTAAGCTAGCAAGCTAGCTATGGATCATAGTCCATATATATTTGCAGTTGAATTCGGAAATAAAAGCAGAATTTATAAATTTGCACTTACCTCTCAGGCTACAGAGGATTTTGGAGAGCTTCTCCTTGCAGCGGCAGCATTTCAGGTCGGCCGAGATGACCAGTATACCCATCGTCGATCTGCCACCGGAGGCGAAAGAGAATGGGGGCGCGATGGGGAGCAGCGGATGTGAGTAAAGCTTTATGTATTGGGTCCGCGCGTGCGGAGACGAAGAGGAAAGGTAAAAAATGCTGAGGTGTCATGCTCTGTTCATGATATTCGTTGTCGGAGGACCATTGTTAGACTTTACTAGGCAGAGTGTGAGTATGTGGTGTTCTGTTGGGCCGGTTGTGGGGCCATGTATATATTTGAAAAATAATGTGGAAAGAAGTCTGGTTGGACTCCCTCGATTATATGTCCAATCTGATTCCTATCACTCGATCGCAATACTGAATATATTGACTGCTTTAACTATGAAAACTGGTAGTACTGCCTCCATCTCTAAATATTTGACGCCGTTGACTTTTCAAATATGTTTAACCGTTTGTCTTATTAAAAAAATTAAGTAATTATTAATTTCTTTTCTATCATTTGATTCATTGTTAAATATACTTTTATGTATATATATAGTTTTACATATTTCACAAAAATTTTCGAATAAGATGAATGATCAAACATATTTAAAAAAGTCAACAGTGTCAAACGGAAGGAGGGAGTATAATTTAACTCCCGAGAACTACAAAGATCCCCATAACCCTCTGCTTCTCTCTGTTCTTCCCCAATCTTAAGCGATTCTACCCCTAATCCTCTCAAATTGTTCCGAACCAAACTGGCGCAAGCTGTCACAGCCGTGACCTGAGGTCGTAGCTTTTCTTCCGTCAGTACGCGTATCTATGGCCGCGACAGCAAGACGTAAAAGGCATTCTTGCATGTCAAATATATTATCAAAATATATACTCCCTCCCCATTTCGTATTATAAGTCATTTGATTTTTTTCCTAATCGAACTTTATTTAAATTTGACCAAATTTTTTAAAAAAAATACTAACATTTCCAATAAAAAATCATATTGAAAATATATTCGATGAAACTAATTTAGTGTTTTAAATGCTGCTATTTTTTTTATAAATTTAGTCAAATCTAAAGGAATTTAACTAAGAAAAAAATCAAACGTCTTATAATATAAATCGGAGTGAGTACGATGCATGGCAGAGCAAGCAAGTTGGCAACATGATAGGCGAAAGGACTTATAGCCTAATGGTTACAAGAGTCTCAGTAGCACTATATATCCTGGGTTTAACTCCCCATGTGAGCGAATTTTTCAGGATTTAATGGCTATGTGCTTTCAGTGGTAGGCGACGTACCTGTCGATAGCGATGCGTCTATGGTGACTTCGTCAATCTCCAGAATGGCCGGCCCAATCTTCATAAGGGTAGAGTTCGCGTGCGTGCGTGCCTTCATATAGGGGTGAGTGTACATGCCAGGATGGCCGGCCCAGTCTTCATAGGGGTAGGGTTCGCATGCGTGTCTTCATAGAGATAAGTGTACATACGTTGTGAGTGTCTACGTTGTAATGTGTAATTAAAAAAAAATGGCAACATGATAGCATTCCTAGCTCGCACGAAATCGCTTGAGGGGGAAAGCGAACTCTCGCGCAGTCGCGAGTTCGCTGTCTCGTTTGGTGACGAATTTTTTGTTAGTTCTTTTTTCAAAGTTGGATGACATTCGGCTTCATCTCCGGTGTCTTCTCCACGAAGTACAACAATCTCAAGTGGTTGAATCGTTGTATTTGCACTACAAGTTCCAAAATAATTACATTAATTATATTGTACTTATATTTGATTTTTTTTAAAAAAAATCTGTAGCAAAATCGTTGGTGACATAAACATCATACATGCGTTTTTGTTTAGTTCGGGTCTAGTGTTTTATAGCCCAATTCTAACTTTTGCTAACTGACAATCTATATTGGGCCTAATTGACTGTGGCCCACCCAATCTAGCATCGTCATCGCAGACCGCGAGCTGAGCTGCTGCATGCTCGCTTTGGGCTGATGCGCCAAGGTTCGGCCCATCTCGGGTTTTCTGTTCCTTGGGCCTCTGTAAAAGAAAACAAGGCGAAGTAAATTACTCCCTCCGTTCTAAAATAATCGCAGTCATGAGTTTCCGTGTCCAACTTTAATCGTTCGTCTTATTTAATATTTTTTTAAAAAAATGCAAAAACATATGTATTCATGTTTTATAATCTAATAACAATAAAAATACTAATCATAAAAAAATTTCAAATAAGACGGAAGATAAAAATTGGACACGGAAACTCATGGTTGCGCTTATTTTGGGACTGAGAGAGTACTAATAACCCAGTAAAAAACAAAATTCCGTGAATGACTGAGAATAATAACAGTTATTAAAATCTGTCGAGTGTTGCAAACGCAAGCGTTCAGTTCTGGTGTTTGAAGCCCTAGGCGCCACGCTAGTGCAAGACTTTACCTGATTGATCCTCCAAAATAGAGTTTGGACTTTGGATAGATTAGCAATCAGAGGCTAGCCGAACGGCACGAAATTGCATGTTGGACGGCCTGCGACCATCTAAGGCCTTCACTTAATTTGGAAACCAGCCTCGATGATATATGAGTGGTGCGAGGCTACAGTAAACATGAGAGGAGTGTCAGGCACTGCGCCCTCTAACCTTACTGGTGGCCTGGGAAATATTAAATGGGAGAAACAGGAGGAATTTCCAACACAAGGAGGTGACGGCCTTAAATTTACTCTCTAAGATAAAGGAGAAAGTAAAAATGTGAAGCCTAGCGGGCGTGAGGCATCTTGCTGCCTGGCTGACAGTGCAATTGTTATTTGGTTGCTAGGGCCGTGGCCTCAAAACTTATAAATGCTTACTTTTTTTCATGGTTTACCTCTTCTCTATTCAATGAAAATTGGCGACTTACCGATTGTATTAAAAAAATAAAATCTTATATTCGGATCCAGACAATCAAGCAGCTGTCGTAGCCTCTTTGGGCTCGTGGCCGTGGCAGCTACTGATCCGATCATCTCCATTCGTGGACAAGAAAAAAAAACTTTCATTTTTTCATAGTCAAATTTAAACTAAATTATAGAAAAATTCAGCAATATCTATAAAATCAAATTAATTTATTAAATTTAACATTGAATATATTTTCATAATATATTTGTTTTGTATTGAAATTATTATTATATTTTTTTTCTATAAATCTGATCAAACCTGAAAATATTTGACTAGAGAAAAATATCTAAGCGACTGAGGAGGGAGTAGAAGAAAATTTTAGGGATGCAAGTGGATAGTCCCGCTACTCGCATAAAAACCCGATTGCTAGTTCATTTCTCATTTTTTTTAGAGAAGGGTATTTTTTACTTGGCCTCTACATCCAACCGGATATATACAGCCATTGAAATAGGGAACACTGGTGGAGAAGTGCTTTTTAGTCCCGGTTCGTAACCCCCTTTAGTCCCGGTTGTTCAACCGGGACTACGAATCCGGGACTAAAGATCGCTATCTTTAGTCCCGGGTGAAATAACCGGGACTAAAGATCGATCTTTAGTCCTGGTTGGTAACACCAACCAGGACTAAATATAGGGATCTTTAGTCCCGGTTGGAGTTACCAACCGGGACTAAAGACGGAGTAACAGCAGTACAGATGGTCCTCATACTAATCATTTCTCCTGAAACAAGTGGCATGCATATCCCCAAATCCCAAATCAAAGTAACATCCAAATCTTTAAGTTACTTATACACATAAATCAAATACATCGCAAATCCTAAAAAAAATTACACAAATCAAATTACATCACAAGTTCTACAAAATTCATCGCAAATACATCACAAGTTCACATCGCACACAAATCAAATACATCACAGGATCATGCAATAAATCACAAATTCTTAAAGAAAAAAAAAGAAACCACAGAGGCGCCGCTCGGCTGGCCGCTGCTGCCTCCTCTCCGCGCCAGCCGGCCCGCCGTCGCGCGGCCCTGCGCGCCGCCACCCGCTGCCATGCAGGCCGCCGCCCCACGGCCCTCCGCGCCGGCCGCCGCCCCGCCGCGCGGCCCTGCGCGCCGCCGCCGTGCGGCCGCACCGCCCGGCCGGCCCGCTCGATCCAAAAAGAAGAGAGGAAGGAAGGGTGCGGCGGCCGGCCCGCTCGATCAAAAAGAAGAGAGGAAGGAAGAGTAGTCCTGGTCGACCGATCAAAGATGGTAAGGAGATCAAAGATGATTTCTCCACCAGTGGAACTTAGCCCCGCAAATAACCAAATCTGAAATTCGCTCCATAGGAGATTTGAACTCAAGACTTTGGGGTACTACTCAGGTCACTATAACCACTAGGCTACATGCCCTTTCGTACAAAATTTAAAAATTTAAAAGAGAAAAATAAACTAGAAGTAAGATAAGCCGGTAAAAAACCCACTTGTCCGTCCCGCTTGCATCCCTAGAAAATTTCAGCACGATCGATCGAATCGTGCTAAAAAGTTTCAGCACGGAGAGCTCGCGAGAGATTCCCAGACAAATTAATCGAGTAGGCATGCCTATCAAATAGCTGTCCTCTTGTGCATTTGCCAAGCTAGCTAGAGAGATGCAATAACATGCAAAATCCAAAAAACCAGCAGGTTCCCATCGATGCAGAGGGCGAGTTGCATTGGTCCTCTCGCGTCCCTGTGCGCTCGACGTCAACCCCAGATAGCCGCGCCTTCTCCTCCGGCGGATGCATCCATCTTGATCGCCGGAGTACTGCTGCTCGAGTTGGTAGCGAGTCGAGATCGGATTGGGCGAGGGCTGAAAACGAGGTGACAGAAGGAGCAAAGGAAGGAAAGCTCAGCGAATACTGACTGTCAGCGATGTTGGTCCAGCTAGCCCATGTGTGTGTACTGTGCTGCAGCATACATGTATGCTAGCTAGAGCAATATCAACAATTAGTAGTTATACTTTTCTTTTTTTTTTAAAAAAAAGTTATTCTGTAAGAGAAAAGAAATACTCCTTTTGTCTTCTCGCTACAATCCCGACACATTTTATGAATATAAAAACCGACGCTTCTCTTTCTACTGGTGTGGCTGTTTTTTTTAAGTCAACATGGTTAACCGTTAAAGTTGGTTGTTTTTCTTGTGTGACATCTCGGGTGTCATGTGATGTTTACGTGATTTTCAGTCCCATCAAGAATGCAGTGGATGTACCGATGCAGGTAGTTTCTAACTCAAGGAAGGTAAAGCTAAGATAGGGACTGTCCGTGCCGCTCTAGAAAATCTAATATACTTATGTTACTATCATGTATTTCCTCTGTTATAAAAAATATAGCTACTTTTCCAGTTAGTCTGAACTAAAAAGTTAGCTATTTTTGTTAGAAATTTCTTGCCGGGCTAATTGAATCCTTCAATATTCCTTCATTTCTCATTTTGTAAACTCCAAATCAGCCGGTGCTCTTTAGCCAACCAAAGAAAAGCATTCCTTCATTTTTCTCTTTAAATTAGGTGTTTTCTAGCTTCTAACTACCAACTGAAGTACTCGTGCAATCGCAAAAGGGAGTAGAGTTATTGTACATCCCTGTACGGAAATTGCGAGAGCTACCTACTCCACAGATAGGATTAGTTAGGATGTAGCTGTTATTCAGCCAACTGTGCTTCGGTTATGACACAATTAGATCGTTCATTGCAATTTCCAAGCAAGAACCGCACAAGATGACGATAAAGATGATAGGGCTCAGGATCCTTGTATAGTACTAGTACATGGTGGATTGGTTTGTGCCTCAACTCAACAGTGTCCAAATTAAAATCCAACACCACTTGTCAAACTGACCATACATACCATCATTGGCTTGATATATATGCACATGGATTAAATGGATACATATGATGGAAATATTGTGTATGGTCCTGAATAAGTTCAGGATATTGTCTTAGGACCACATCACCACACTGATCTGAAGTCTGAAACATAGCAAGCTCTTCTCTTCCATCTCTCTCTCTCTCTCTCAGCCTGCTTGCCAACCACAACCACTAGCCTACATAGCCTATCCATCCATACATCGATCCTTAATAAATCAATAATTGTGCTCTCATCGAGCATGATGATTTTTCATGAGTCATGATCATGAACCTGGGCATGTTTTTGTTAAGGATGGACACAGATTGGTAATCACTTGCTTTCTTTTTATATATATAATATTGCTCTTTCGAACCTACCCATAGATAGGTAACCTACGTTATGACTGTCTACTGCTAAGAGAAAAAAAAACAGGGTATCTTTGAACCACAGTAGTGTTGGAGGTAGAGAATTTATTTATTTTATTTATTTCGAAAATAGGTCTAGAAGAAACATTGCACTCATGTGGGAAATGGTATTTCACGAATAGGGAAAAGTGCGAAATGCATGAATGAGAGAAAACACAATATATATATGCCCCTTAGATTTTTTTTAGATAATGATAGAAAAACAGTCTCCGTATCAACCATATGTCCCTAAGGATGAAAGAAATCAGTAGTGTGCAATGAAGATGAGAGATAAAGGTGGTTCCTTGAATTCGTTAATGGAAATTAAAAAATCACAAAGTTTGATTATTAAGTTTGTGAACTCCAAAAACAATAAAGGAAGAATATTTATAGCAAATATAAAAGCAAATACTAGGACACTATCTAAATGGTCCATAGGATGGTTTTCTATTGGTTGTAGGAATGTGACTCTCAAACCAAATAACTCTGCTAATCCGGAATCTCGACATTGTCGACCACCTTATGTTCGAATGCCTGGTTTCGAAGTAAATCTGGTTTGGAGTTCTCAATTGGCTTATTCTGAAATGGAATGACAGTAGAAACCTCTTGCATTGGTGGACACAAGGAACAAGCGACTTGGAAGTAACTAAACAAAAAGGGCTCAGATCTCTTTTCTTGCTCATCGCCTAGGAAATTTGGAAGGAATGGAACGTAAGAATCTTCAGAGGGAAAAGGAGGCGACAATACACCAAATGACCAGTCACATCCAAGACGAGGTTGGTGGGGTATTTTCGATGCTAAACACATTGGGAGAATGTTGCCATGAGGAGTGAGGAGAGCTTCGTGCAATCTTGTTTGCACGTAGGCATGTACAGTTTTTTTTCTCTTTTCTCGGCCTGTTGGATATTTGTACTTTGTATTTTTTTTCCCTCCTATTAATATAACGCTAGTCAAATGACTCAAATCTATCTGGTCGTTCGAAAAAAAAACATATGCAAGGGTGCCCCTAGGTAGTCCTAGTTAGTAGTAATTAAGACAAATATACCACGGTAATCATGTTTGATGGTGTTAGCAGACATCCATAAGAGCAGTTACAATAAAACTAGGTCAGCGCGCTATAATTTGATCTAGGTCAGCACACAATTAATCTCATAAAGAAGGGGAGAAACGAAGAGAAAAGACGGCCAAAAACTATTTGTAGCCAATGCTAACACAAGAAAAAGATAAATTGCCACACTTTTACAGCCAAGATACTCTACAGTTTATGAGTTTAGTGAGCCTCTCCACGATTAATTATTGTACATAATTATACATATCGAACAACATAAACAAACAAACAAACAAATTTACATGAACATACTGTAATTAATTATTATACAGCCCACACAGCACACAACACAAACACCATGGATTAATTACAAACACATCGATCAGCCTCGTGTTTAATTTATTCCGATTTCCGAGGCAAGGAAAGGAGCAGAGGTAGTAGCAAGCAAGGAAATTAAGCAGCAGAGATGATCGTGATCGACGCCGACCGCCGGCCGGCCATCACATGATGGAGCAGGCGTTGGCGTTGTCCTCGGTGTAGCACCACGGCGGCGGCGGGCAGACGGGCGGCGGCGGCCACACCTGCGGCGGCCACGGCCTGATGCCGCAGCCGCAGTTCCCGTGGCCCCCCGAGCACCCGCACGGCGGCGGCGGCGGCGGCGCCGGCTTGCAGACGCACACGAAGGCGTGCGAGCACCCGCACGGCTTCGGCGGCTCCGGCTCCTTCGGTGGCTCCGGCGGCGGCTTCGGCGGCTCAGGCTTTGGGCAGCACCACTGCCCGGCGTACGGGTACGGCACCGGGTAAGGGTACGGCACCAGCTTGCACTCCGGCTTCGGCGGCGGCTTCTCCGGCGGCGGCTTCGGCGGCTCCTCCGGCTTGCACGGCGGCGGCTTCTCGCATGGCTTGGGCTTCTCGCAGTGACAGGGCTTGGGCTTCTCGCAGTGGCAGGGCTTGGGCTTGGGCTTGGGCTTCTCGCAGCTGCAGCAATGGCAGGGCTTGGGCTTGCAGTCCTCCGGAGGCTTCTCGCACGGCGGCGGCTTGCACGGCGGCGGCGGCTGCGGCAGCGGCGGCGGCCAGACGTCGACGATGAGGATCTCCTTGATGATCTTGCCGGCCTTGCACCAGATCTTCTTGCACAGCTTCTCCGGGTCGAACTTCCCGCGCACGATCACCCTGTTGTTCTTCACGTCGTACTCCACCTTCTCGATGCAGTACTCCTCTGCGTTCATATTCAATTATATTCATTCAAACACACCCTTTTTAACAGAGGTTTTGCTCCCAATTGAGCAGGAACACTGCTGATTAGCCTTGAAAATTCAATCAAACATGGACGATTCGGGCAGAATTTATTATACCTTCAAGGCAGCCCAGGACCTTCCTGATCTTGGCATCGCAGCGGCAGCATTGCAGGTCCACCAAGATGACCAATATACCCATCTGCACACAAGAAAAACAAAAAACAAAAAAAAATGCAGATAGACAGGCTTTGGTCAGTTAACAGAAAAAAAAAAAGAGGTGCTTATTGAGCATCTTATATAGTTCTCTTTTCTCATAACAGAGTTAGGGGCCCCTTGCAATTAACAGGCATGCTCTTTACAAATTTCTCAGGAAAAAGTGCAATTCCCGTGGAATTCAGAAAGAAGATATATATCATGCCTTAATTATAAAAAAAAGTATTATGGAAGTTGAAGTCCTGTAACGAAAATTCTCTTTTCAAAATAGCAAAGAAACCAGAATTCTCTTTTGAACAGAGCAAAGATTAGCACACCAAAGTACTACATTAAGATTTAAAATACTGAGCTCACCTGTCAAATTTGCCGAATGTTACCAATGAGCAGTAGAGGAAAGCATGGAGAATCGAAGCATGAATAATGGAGGCGATGCATGGATGGAGCAGAGCTGAACCTTATGTTACTTATTTATGTTTGGATATGCCAGAGCCTGAAATATTCTGCCATTGGTTTTTTTCGTCCGTCGGATCGCATCTGGACGGTCCATGTTTCAGGAGGGGTCTTGATAACCTATTGCAAGAGATGGAAAATGACCACATGTATATAGGACAGTTTGGTCCTTCTCACGCCTTGTCATCTCTCAATTAGCTTTCAGAATGGTACCACTGTACATTTTCCTCTGAAAAATAAGAATACCTTTCAGAATTCGATTTCAGGCACACCTTGTGCTTCAATAAAAAAAAATATCATTGTTATCTTAAGAAAAGCTAATTTCAGATATCAATTTCTGTTTGGACCCTTGTAGTAGTACGCAATGCGACTCATTTAGCACTCATTTAGCTTTCTCTGTGGAAAATTCCTGAAATTAACTAATCTGCCCAAATATAGGTGAGCATTTATATATAGCACATTTCTCGCGGCACCGTCGAATCAATTACTGTATTTGGTAATTCCTCTTTAATGAAAAGTGTGTTTAACGAGATGATTGTGACCGTATAAACCTATCATCCAATCAGTCTCCCAGTATTCCTGATTTTACAGAGATATTTTACACACAGCATCCGTCAGTATCAGTTCGTCCTCTCCTATAGTTGTATATCATCACTGCACTGTACAGTTCCTTGCTTCGTGATTACACGAGAACTCTGATGTGTCGGCAATATCCTAGTCTGAAATGATTTCTGAGCTAACAATCTTCTGAATTATGCCACAAACTGTTTTGGGGATCTTCGGGCACATTTGCCAAAAGTACTAGCTTCTACAATACTCAGTGTTGGTCTTTTCCATTTTTGTTGTGATATAAGTTTTTTTTTTTGCGGGGAAATAGGGAATATATTACTCATGAGAAGCTTCCTCACACACCATATGTGAGATAAAGTTACAAGAATTTTCAGGCCAGAGCTCAGACACAGAATCGCATTGAGCCTTATTCGCTAAAATATGGCTAATACAGTTTTGGCTCATATGGCTACATGTTGTGATATAAGTATTAAATGAAAGGAGCAATTATATTTTTATTAGGAAAAATATAAGAACATTCAGTTATCTAGTTTCAATTTTAGCCTCTTACCTCCATAGAGGTAAGTTGGAGTAGTATAGAAGGGAATTAAAAATGTATATATATTCTGAACATGTGCTCGGAATTTTAGAGCTCTGGTTTGTGGTCCTGAAACCATGTTAGGGCATGTCTATTGCAGGTAATATTAAGTTTGCAACATTACGGTAATAAATATGGGTTTAGCTTTCGCTTTCTTGTCTAGCGCTATAGATTGGGTAGGACTGTTGGAAAAAAAAAACTCTTTCAGAAACCATCTCTTTCCTTACGCTAGTAACATGTCCGTACGTTGTAACGGGTCAAACCCATATAATTGGGAATAGACTAGAAGGACGATTGAGAATAAAGTATTGAATCCGGTGGCTACTTAGGATTACTTAGGAGTATACCACAACTGTTTGTTTCGGTTACTTTTTCATCCATGCTAGCAAGCACATTTCGTGGAGTAGATAGGTAACGGAGCAAACTTTGGATGGTGTTAAAGTACACCACAAACGCTGATGGTATAAAGCAAAACACAGGAACTTTTGATGGTATGAAACAAATTTTCCATATTCTTTTTTGTTGGCATCTCCTCTTCTACTGTATTGCATCCATGCTAACTCCTAAAATATTAATGTGCTTGCTTTTTATTTTAAGATGCTAAAATGTGCTTGCTAGCATCATACTTACACTAGACATATGGCCTTACATGTCTTATAAAAGCTCATCTCAATTTTACATTTTTTTTTTCTAAAAGAGAAGCAGTCCCTCCCCATTTCGATCCATTACGTACTAGAAATGGGACTTCACTACGATGTTTAAAAAATACATTATATTACACTTAATTATCATTTATTGCCTTCACATAAAGCATCATCTAGAAACCGAGATTTAATTATAATTTCATTTATAGATGGCCATAAGGCCCGAGGCCCGATGGCCCGGCCCAAGTACGGCACGAGTTGGGCACAGTGGGCCGGCCTGGCACAGCACGGTCGGAAAAAAATAGTTGAGGGACCCAAAATAGACTTAATCAACCATATAGGACAAGGCCCAAAGAGAAGAGGAATACAAAATAGACTTACTTCCAGCTATATAAGACACAGCACAAAGAATTGAGGGGGGAAAATAGACTTATTCTTTGGGATAGTCATCAATGGTGCAGAACAATAGACTCATCAATGGTACAAAACAATAGAACTTGTAGTTTGAAATTCTCCTGACCATGCGCATCCCAACTTTCTACACCTTCTTTCAAGAGAATCTCAAGATCATCGATAACAGGCTCCAAGCTAGAATACATCAATATCATTGCCAGGTTGTTTTGATTCTTGGATTACCAAGCACATCAAAATATGTGTGTGTATATATCATCTAATCAGTCCCTAAATATTCTCATGAGCATGATTTTAACACAAGACATAGGAGTTTACACACAGCATCCATCAATAACACCTGGTTGTCCTATCCTGCGGATATAATGGATATATATAGTATCATCATTGTACTACGAAACAGTTCTTAGCTGCTTTATTGCAAGAGAATACTTATGCGGTCGGCGGTATCCTAACTGAAAATTTTCGACCTAACAATCTTGTGAGTTATCCCTCGAACTGTTTTTGACATTGACACTTGATAGGCACAGTTGCCAAGTACTTGTAATATGTACTCTTCCTGTCAACAAACACTATTAGTATTTCTAGATATTAATATTTATTTACAAACATAAGTGTTTCTAGAGTATTACCTTAATTTACTATCCAAAATCATCACTTATATATCCATGCATTTATTGTAAGGGCATGAGCAAATGGACCGGGGACTCAGGTCGCATGGTCCAAAGAAAGGTTGGGCCAACTATGACCAAGTCTGCCACACAAAGGCCGAGCGGTCTAAAATGTGGGGGAAGAGAAAATTGTGGGCGAGTCGTCAAGCAACAAGTGCTGCATATCACGGTTACTCGAAGCATGACTTTAATTTGTTGTTGCGCTTAAAATTGCGCCAGGGTCATTGTGACCCGTGGGAGCTACCCGCGGCTTGCTCAAATCCCTACGCGAGGCTGCGCTGGGGACCCCGCTCAGATACATGTTGGTGCATTGGGCATGCTATTATGTCAATAGGCGTGATATTTCCAATAAAGTAAACCTTTAGTAGGGGTAGATATATTGAGCTGGCTCGGCTCAGCTCGATCTGGCTCGTTAGGATAACGAGCTTTATCCTAACGAGCTAGAAACCAAGCTCAGCTCAGCTCGTCTGTAAGCTCGAGCTAGCTCGTTTAATTAGCTCGTGAGCTTTGGAGAGAGAAAGGGAACATTAGCTCGTGAGCTTTAGAGACAAGAGAGAAAGGGAACAAGGGGAGGAGCCGAGGAGGGGCGCCGGGAGGAGCGGCGCGGCCGGTGGCTTCCACGGCCGCGTGGCCGCCAGGGAGGAGCGGCACGGGCGGCGGCGTCCACGGCCGCGTGGGCACCGGGGAGGAGGCGGCGCGGGCGGCGGCGTCCACAGCTGGCCGCGTCGGCGCCGGGAGGAGAGGCGCGGGCGGCGGTGTCCACGGCAGCGGCCTCCACGGCCGCGTGGGCGCCGGGGAGGAGCGGCGTCCACGGCCGGCCGCATCGGCGTCGGGGAGGAGAGGCGCAAGCGGCGGCGGCGACGCTGGGGAGGAGAGGCGCGAGCGTTAAGGGCTGGCGGCGGCTTGGGTGGGGATTGGGGATAGGGAGTAGAGCTAGGGTTTTGGGAGTAGAGCTAGGGTCACAAATGGGCCTTCAAGCCACATATGGGCCTTCAAACACATATGGGCCACAAATCCACAACAGCTTGTGCTAGCTACCCCAGCTCGTTAAGGCTCGCGAGCCAGCTCGAGCTGGCTCGTTATCTCTAACAAGCTAAAATGCCATCTCGGCTCGTTAGGAAAATGAAATGAGCTGAGCCGAGCCGAGCGAGCTAACGAGCCACGAGTTTTCCATCCAGCCCTAACCTTTAGGGACATCAAAATAACTTTACCTCAAATTTAATTGCTGCAAAAACTCTTAAAAATGCTTATTTATATTTGGGGAGTGGATTCTAATCCCTCAAGGGGATATCCCCTCGTATACCTTTTTCTTTCAAATTTGATGCAAATAGCTGTGAAAAATTCTGAAAAAATTGACAATATAGAGTATAATGATACCTACAAGTCCACCAAAATTCATGTTCAAATTCGATCTACACATCGAGAAACAAAAAAGACAAATTTAGATATAAACAGTATACTATTTATACGCTGAATTTGTCTTTTTTATATCTCGACGTGTGAGTTGAGTTTGGACTTAAGATTTTGTGGAGTTGCATATATGTGTTGTATGGATGTTGTCAAATTTTTCCAAAATTTTTTTATAACTGTTTAGATGGTTTTTAAGCAAACGAAAGAACATCCCTCAAGGGATTAGAATAGTTTCCCTTATACTTGTGGACGGAAAGAGTATATACTCAACATGAGCGGTAAATTTTAGGCCTCCAGCTCTATACCTGAGGTATGTTTCACAGTTCAGTACTTCAGGATAATACTACACCCAATTATTTATTGCCTTCACATAAAGCATTGTCTTAATACTACTAAGCTCAATTATTTATTTCCTTAACATTATCACATAAAAGCATTCTCTAAATACATGGAGTAATATTAATTTCCATCATCTTAAAAAACATAAGCAATCCTCCCACACCCAATCAAAGCCCAAAGTGATGAACTTCATAATAACAAACGTCCGGTGAGACTTTCAAGAACACATTCATGGACGGATATATGAACGGGGAAGGAGATGACCAGCGCTGGCTACATGACGGCGCAGGCGCCGTACTGCGGGCCCTCGTCGCAGACGAGCACCGGCGGGTACGGCGGCATGGCCGGCGGCGGGTAGCAGTGGCACGGCGACGACCAAGCCGGGCAGCCGCACGCTGGCTTCGCTGGCGCCGGCGCCGGCGGAGGTGGCTTGGGGTGGCAGTCGCAGCAGTGCGGGGTGGCGCAGCCGCCGCACGGCGGCGGCGGCGGGTACACGTAAGGGTACGGGAATGGTATGAGCTTGCATGGGTCGGGCTTGGGCTTGGGATCGGGCTTCTTCTCATCGGGCTTGGGTTCGGGCTTCTTCTTCTCTTCCGGCGGCTTGATCTTGATGTCCTTGATGATCTTGCCGGCCTTGCACCACAGCTTGCAGGAGAGCTTCTCGGCGTCGAAGGGGCCGGACACCACCACCGTGTCCTTCTCGTACACGATCTTCTCGATCTCCAACTCGCCTCGCTCTGCGCAATTATAATTTCAGCTGGGTACATGATAGCCATAGCTATGAGAGAAATGATATATGATCGATCGGAGACAGGGTTGCAAATTTCGGACCGAAATTTCCGAAAACGTTCATATCGGACCCTCCAATACGATATTATTTCGGTCAAAAAAATTTAATTTTTTTTGTGAATTTAGCAATATTTGTTTAACTTTGACTTATATTTTGTTCAAAATTTCGGAACCAAATTTTCTAAATTTCGAAAATATCGTCGTATCAGCACCCTCCAATACAAATACCGAAAACAAAAGGTTGAACCCTGATCGATCGGAGAAGAAGAGGGTGACCTTGCATGCAGCAGAGGACTTTCTGGATCTTGATGTTGCAGCGGCAGCACTGCAGGTCCACGGTGATGATCAGCGTTGGCATCTGAGAAGATGAAGCATGCGAATATAAACTATACCTTACAAATTAAAAAATTCGAATTCACCAAAGCCATCAAATCTATGTGTATGTAATTAATTAATTATTAAGCTGTGTTTGAGAGGAGAGGAAATAACAAGACTGAAAAGATACGCAACGTATGATCAATGAGTATCAATTATTTTAAACTTAAAAAATATATTAATATTATTTTTAAGCAACTTTTCAATATATATTTTTTAAAAAAAAATTATTTAGTAGTACGAAAAACTTGCGCGTGAAACACTATATATTTTCTCATCCTATCTTTTTCAAAGGAACACACTCTTACTCTCTAACCTCAATCAATGCATCTCTCCCTCATTATCACTATGTTTCATATTGTAAGCTGTTCTATGTTTGTTATATGTTAAATTTATTCTAAGTTTAAATATTTAAATTTATAAAAAAAATTATAGCAGCATTTCTAAAAAAAAGTATAAAGTAATTTAGTGTTGTACTTAATTGTTGATATGTTTTTTCTTACAAACTCGATGAAAAGTTTAGTGAAATAAGATAGCAAAATGAGTATATGTATAACTCTAAGCTTCTAGTTAATTGGTATCACATTTTTTTGTCTAAAATTGTAGTTGGTGACATATTAATTTAACAAAAGGGCTGTCTATTTATTACCATGTGAACAAAATCTTTTCAGCCACCTTTTCTTATCATTTGAATGAAAATCTAACTGCTCATGTGAAAATGTCTGTCTACATTAGATAAATTAACTTAAAAGAATTGTGCTAACATAGACAAAAAAAATATTTGATGATACTTCAGAAGACAGGAAAATATTCAAACTTAGGGATGAATGGAATTTTGGCAAAAAAAAAGCACATATCTACATACTAGAGGTGAAATTTTCTGGTTAGCATTTTGCATGTCATTTAGATGACTAGATAAGAAAATTTTAGACTACTGATGAATGAAAAGTAGAAAAAATCTCTAAGGGTAAAAAAAAAAGATCGATGTTTTTTTGCAAGAAATGAATTTCTGCTTTCTCAGGAAAAAGGCGAAGTCTCGGAAATGCAGATCATAGTTTGTGAAACTCGAACCGACTCCTCTATCTCTATTTTCTTTTGAGAATACCTCTATTTCTATTAGTCTACATTTTATAGCTAGCCTGTTCGAAATTAACTTACTTTTCTTCATATCATATTCTTTACCGTCTGGATACCAATTAGCTAGAGACGATCAGAGCCGAGAGAGCTACAGCAAAATAAAACTCCATTCAAAAATCAAAGATCCGCCAAGCTATTTTTTGAAGAAAAACACGAGTACAATATATCAAAAAAAAAAGCGACATTAACCGAGCCAGGTAACTAAACAAAGATATGATGGTGATATATATTGATGATCTATATATATAATCCGATCGAAAGCTAGCTAGCTAGCATCAAGGGAAACAGTAGAAATTAACCTTTGTATATATATGCAGCTTTCTGAAGTGAAGCTAGTCAGGATGAACTGCGACACGGCGATCGAGTGAGGAGCGAGCTCGCCTTGGAGAGAAATGGAGATAGATAGTCCCGGAGAGATCGAATTAATTAAAGATGATGATGAAGTAGTGCATACGTTTATAACGTTTTGACGTGCTGATTAAGGTGGGATTAATTTGGTGCAGGGATCACGTCTGCACGGTTCGGGATCGTCGACTTAATTCAATGCCCCGTTTGAAAGATGAAACCCGGCGCCATGACAGCCTTTCTCTCTCTCTCTCTCGGCTTTCGTCGTCGTCCCTGGCATGGTTCGTTGCCGGATCACATCCTCACGGTTCAGAGTCACGGCGCTCGTTTTGAATGCTGAGGGGGAAAAAACAGAGAATTTGAAAAGTGCATGCTATTCGATTTGTAGGAAACTATGAATATTAGTGTAGAAAAACCAATGGAACTTTTCCTTTCCTATAAGCTGTTAGAAAAAAAAAAGAGAAAATTTTCTGTCCACTCAAATCTCTTGGAATATTTTAAAATATGTAAGCATTCCTAGTTTTTCTATTCCTATATGTTAAAATTTCTCCAAAATAAGCCCTAAGAACTGAGTTTGAACTAAAAAACTTTCTATATAAAAATTCCTTTTTAAAATTGAATAAATTTGTTTTAAAATTTATGTAATTAATACTCAATTAACTATACACTAATATATTTTCTCGATTTATAGAATGCCCAATCAAACAAAGACTAAGACCATATTTTTTGTCTAGCTACTCTCTCTGTTCTTAGATGTAAATATTCTTACTCCCTCCGTCCCAAAATATAACAACTTTTAACACTTAGTATTTGTTCCAAAATATAACTTCTCCACCAACATTCTCTTCCGAACAAATTACAACCCTCCACCATTTACTTTTTCCATCTACCTCCACTACTCATTCAATTACAATCCTCCACCACTCATTTCTATCTACTTTCTTAATAACCATGTCCAATTCTAAAAAGGGAGTAATTAGGATTCAAACTCTATACATAACACACGAGAATCAGAACATTTCCAAACAATCAGCTCCTTAGGACAAGAAACCAAGCCAATGAAGCGACTGGAAAAGAGACTATTTCCCCTTATCCTTGATGTTCACTAAATAACAGAGGGAGCATGAGTAGATTATCGTAGGTACATTTCTTAAGCGGCGCGTTAAATGATGCAATTTTTTTTGCAAAAACTTTCTTTCTATAATATTTTTCTACAAAAATCAAATAAACCCGATCGATCCATGCGATAATTATTATTGAGTATCGTCTTCTCCTATAAGCCCAAGCGGCTAAGGGCGTCCATAATGTGCTCCCAAACTAGGTAATAGATAATATTTTAATCTTCATACCAGATAGTAACTACAACCCAGTAGTAAAGAGTAAAAAAAAACATTGATTCTTTTGGCATGTATTGATCCTCATCTCTCTCTTCATGCTATTGGCTTGGGACCCACCTTATTACTAGTTATATATTGTGGAACTTTTAACAACAAATACCTACTTTTAGTAGGTCCCACCTTATTTACTAGTTGTAAATATGCATTGGTGATGCCCTAAACGTCAAAAAAGCAAAAAAAAAACAAGAAACTAGAAGCGAATATAAGTATAAGTTCACTATTTAGGGCCCCTTTGAATCACAGGAATAAAAAAACGGAGGAATAGGAAAAACATAGAATTCTGACAGGAATGTAAGTGTAAAACAGAGGATTGCAAAACACAGAAAAAATATTGGAATGACTGTTTGATTGGACCACAGGAAAAACACAAAAATTTGAGAAGAGATAAAGACTCAAAGGATTTTTTCCATGAGGTTCTACCTCTTGTTAAAATTCCTCCAAAACTTATATCGGAAGAGGCATTCTATAGGAATTTCATATGATTCCATAGGGTTCATTTCTTTGATTCAAAGGGTTTTGTAGGAAAAATTTCTATAGGAATAAAATCCTCTAAAATTCCTATATATTTCATTTGAATCAAAGGGGCCTTAGATCGCAAGGACGAACGGAATGGTCGAGTCACGCGCAGTGTCACGTCGTTATCTCCCGTGTCCGTCCCTGTGCGTACGAAAATATGTACGATGCATATATGCTATCTCTCTTCTACGGCAAGACACATTGAGTTTCGGTTTAATCCTGCTACAGGATGTGTACATGTACATCTTTTGATTGGACATATGTACATTTGCACGCCTGGTGTTGGTGCGAATTAAAAACCGTGCTGATCAGTGCTTCCTTCCGTTCTAAAATAAGTTTATTTTTCACTCATCTCTTACATATATTAAAAGCACTAAAATATCTCAGCTTTATCAAATCTTAATGCAATTATTAATTTATCTACCCCTAATATATTTATCTTCTGCTTTTTACAAACTTTTGATATAGCGATTACTAAAAATGTATTTATTTTAGGGTAATATAAGGAGAAAAATTGAATCTATTTTGAGAGGAAGGAATTAGTAATTTGGTACTAGGAGGGCATTTGTTGGTTGCTTTTGTTGAAGTTGTTGGATGATTGATTCCGTCTCTGTCATTGTTGATGGATCCTGGTCGTACGATATGCGTGGTGCCACACTTCCATAGGGCATCCGTAAAGTGGGAATAAAAGAGGTTTGTCTAAAGCTCAGCTCCTTTATATTGTAATCCGGAGTGATTTAAAATTTTGAAATAATTTTAGGAAGATTTCTTAATTTGTCAAAGATAACTTTTTCGGTGAGATTTCACCGATATTTCACTAATTTTTTTTATCTCAGATCCTCGCGAGATAGTTTTATACCGTCCAAAAATTTGGGATTCAATCATATTTCGTTACATTTGGATCAAAATTGGGTTAGAATTAAATAAAATCTGTTAAAATTTCAATTTCTCTTGGCGAGATTTCACGTGAGATCACGCTATCTTAATTCCGACAAAGCTTGCCTCGTATGTATTGATACAATAGAGTCTGACGATATTGATGCTTGCTCGGCTGCTCCTTAGCAATCATATACTTCCTCCATTCCAAAATATTGCTATCTAGGATGGGATTTGACCAATCCTATGATAACGAATCTGAACAAAGGCATGTCGAGATTTGTTGTCATAGGATGGGTCAAATCCTATCCTAAATAGCAACATTTTAGGACAGAGGAAAGAAGTCGGGCAACAAAATTGACAAAAAAAATCCATAAAACTAATCCTAAATTTAAAGTCTAAAATTCAACATCAGCTTTGAATTAGAATTTTAAATGAGTGCCAAGTACGCCGTTAGGTTCTTTGAATTGGCCTCTGACAAAGCTTGGATCGACCAAGCTTTAGGCCATCTCCACTGTAGTTCATTATTCGAATCAAGAGAAGAGAGAGAATAGATTACTAAAAGGTTCATTTGTTCGAACTAACTTTTTTCATAAACTCAGCAATGCGTACCTGCAACCATAAATTAGCTAAAAGTCCTATGCTCTATGCATGGAATCGATCCTAGTGAAGAAAGAAGAGGAACGGATACTCAATATAAATGAGTAAATTGAATTCCATGCTTGATCTCACATATCTCAAATTCCCAATAGAACTCTATTGAAAGTTGTAATATATAAAAATAACTGCAAAATATAATCTATTTTTCACAATCGAATAATTATTAATATGGCGGTTTACCGTATTACGAAGGTTCGTCAAACTCAAAGCTTTTTTTTTCTTGTTTTTTCAATTGTGCTAGTCCCTGCGCAAATGGTTTCTCCAGACAGCACAACACATACTGAACCGAACCAAATTGATCCATACTGCAAAACACTGACTGAACTGAACCCAAATTAATCCATATGCTGGACTGTGGCCCAGTACATCTGTTGCATTGATTTAGGATTGGACATGCCCTTAGCTTGGCCAAACCACTCCCAAGTCATAGAAGCAAGAAAATCACAGGAATAGGATATCATGTTATAACCAATCTTACAGGAAATAAATCCACAAAATTTTACAAATAGTATTTTTTTTCTAGCACCAAACAAACAAAGGAACTTTGTGTTACAAGGAAGAGAAAACATGAATATTCTAGCTTGATGTCAGTTTTTCTCAAATATTCCTATAAAAAAATTCCAAGGGATTTCAATCCCTCCAAAATTCCTCTACATTTTTCTTTGTTCCAAATGTGCCCTTAAACTTGATGCTTTACCACCACACGAAAAGAGAGAGGAAGATGTAAACGAAAGAGAGAGGAAGATGTAAGGCTAACCTCTTATCTACTTCATCTGTCCTAAAATATAATCATTTTTAGCATAGTGATAAATCAAACATTTTCAACTTTAACTATTAATAGAAAAAAGTTAAAAAAGATCAATCATGTAAAATTGATGTTACTAGATTTATCATTAAACAAACTATCATAATATGTAACTTTTTATTTAAAACATCCTACTTTTATAAATATTATTGATCAAAATAGCATCTCGAATACCATGTCAGAGTTCAAAAATACTTATCTTTTAGTACGGATGGAGTAGTTGACTGAGTCGCGGAAGTTTTTTCACACTTTCATCTAAATAAGACCCAAATAAAATGCGAGTTACACGGCCAACAAACCCCCATTCGATGACCGCTTCCATTAAAATGCTAGAAAACAATCATTACCTTCTGGCTGTAAATTCGCGTTCTGATCGTTGTCGCCTCATAAATTCGTATGATGGAAAAAAAATATTACATATCATAGAGGAGGAGATTGATATTGATGTATTAGGAAAAGAAAAAGGTAAATGCATCGGGACATCACTCCTCTATGCAGGCTATGTCAGGTGTACTTTTTTTTTTTACTTCGACCATCCCTTTCTCAACCGTTGATATCTGAAAATCTGACATAAACTATTCTATTCGATTAGTTCAAAAAAATCAAATGAATCTTGATAATAACCCATTTTGGGCGACAACCACATTCAAACGCTCATCATCACCTCTTCCCTCCAAAAAAAAAAAAACGAAAAATGGCGCCAACTCCCAACCCACCCCTCCCCCTCCCTCCGCCGTACGACTCCCTCCCCCGCCTCCTCCTCCACCACCACCGCCGCCTCCCTCGCCGCCGCCTCGTCCTCGCCGCGCACGCGCTCGCCGCCGTCGCCGGCCACCTCACCGTCCCCGCCCCGCCGCACCACCCGCACGCCCTCCTCATCCTCGCCTACGCCCGCCACCTCGCGTCGTGGCCGCGCGCGCCCATCCACCTCCTCCTCCTCTTCCGCTCCTCCCTCCGCCTCTCCGTGCCGCCCACCCGCCACACCCTCCCCCTCGCCGTCTCCGCCGCCGCCGCCGCGTCAGCCGGACGCCACCTCCCGCTCGCGCTCTCGCTGCACGCCGTCGCCGTCACCCGCAACCTCCTCCCGTTCCCGCACGTCTCCAACGCGCTCATCTCCCTCTACGCCAGGAGCGCGCTCCCGGACTCCGCGCGCAGGGTGTTCGACGGAATGCGCGCCCCCGACGTCGTCTCGCACAACGCGCTGGTGCACGGGTACGTCAAGGCCGGGCGGCTGGGGCTCGCCGTGAGGGTGTTCGAGGGGATGCCCGAGCGGGACGCCGTGTCGTGGGGCACGGTGGTCGCCGGGTGCGCCAAGGCCGGGCGGCTGGAGAAGGCGGTGCGGCTGTTCGACAGGATGAGGCGGGAAGGGTACCGGCCCGACGACGTCGCGCTCGCCGCCGTGCTCTCGTGCTGCGCGCAGCTCGGCGCGCTGGACAAGGGCCAGGAGGTGCACGAGTACGTGAGGCGGACCAGGCCCCGCCCCAACGTGTACCTGTGCACAGGGATCGTCGATCTCTACGCCAAGTGCGGGCGCGTCGAGGTTGCGCGCGAGGTGTTCGACGCGTGCCCGGAGAAGAACGTGTTCACCTGGAACGCGCTCATCGTCGGGCTGGCGATGCACGGCCATGGCACGGTGGCGCTGGACTACTTCGACCGGATGCTCGTCGAAGGGTTCCGGCCAGACGGGACCACGTTCCTCGGCGTGCTGATCGGCTGCAGCCACGCCGGCCTCGTGGACACGGCGAGGAGGATCTTCTACGAGATGCAGCACAACCATGGCGTTCCTCGAGAGCTGAAGCACTACGGATGCATGGCTGACCTCCTTGGCCGAGCCGGGCTGATCGACGAGGCAATGGAGATGATCTCGAGCATGCCAATGGAGGCGGACACGTATGTCTGGGGAGGCATACTCGCTGGCTGCAGAATGCACGGGAACAACGTGGAGTTCGCCGAGGTTGCTGCCCGGCGTTTGCTGGAGCTGAACCCTGACGACGGTGGGGTGTACTCCGCCATGGCTGGCATCTACGCTGATGCTGGTAGATGGGAGGATGTCGCGAGGGTTCGGAGATCGATGGATGAAATGGTTGGCATGAGGAATGTTGGTCGGAGTTCGATTGCAATGGAGCTCAAAGATGGTATCAAGATGCTGAGCTGATTGTCTCTGAAGATTGGCAGGATTGCAATGGCAAGCCTACCGAGGTATCAACCAACCTCTCACTTTGACAATTTCAATCAACCAAAGTTGCTGCTGCCCATATAGCTTGATCTCATTGAGAATAGTAATGGCAAATTCTCGCTCTGTTCTGCTGGGCACAGCATTTGTGCATGCTGAAAGCATGGGGATATGAGCAGCAAGACAGCAACTGATGGTAGCAGAGTCGCTGTAGTTCCAGGCAAAATCTGATGACTGTTTATCCGTAGCCAGTCTATCAATCTCTAAACAAGCATCCTGGCCTAGACATACTTTTCTGAAAGTCCTGCAGCTCTTAGATAAGACAGAGAGCCAGAAGTTACATCCTCCATCCCAAAATGCATGACACCACTAACTTTTTACATAATATTTGATCAATTATTTTATTATGACTTGTTTTATCATAAAAAACTATAACCTTAACTTATATTTTTACATATTTATACTAGATTTTTGAATAAAACGAATTTTTGAATAAAACGAATGGTGAAACATTATGCTATTTTTACATATTTATACTAGATTTTTGAATAAAACGAACGGTGGAACATTATGCGAAAAGCCATCGGCATCATACATTTTAAAACGGAGGAAGTAATACTTTCAGGCAATATCTAATCACTTTGAGCTTTGAACACTGAGGCACCCTTGGAGAGAAGGTAGTGGATTCAGACCTGGTCCAGCTTTCTTTTTCCTCCTGAGGCACTGTCTGTTGTTTCTGTAAAGATAATTCAATTTCGCATAGTTCATGGCATTTTAAATTGCAACCTACTCACACACATGCTGAAATAACTTTTTTTTTCCTTTTATTTTGTTCCAATCAAATACAACTACCTTTTTCATGTATGGAATGGCTGGCTACACAAATGTTATCCAATGAGAAATGTAAATGCGTCCCTCAATGAGATTATTCCTTGCACAAATCTGCTCCTTGGTTCAATAACGACGACTCGCCGCACCCCTGCAAAGACACAAAGATTGTCACAACTCAAATTCAAATTAGATTACAAATATATGATTTATCAGTTTCCTGTAATGATGCACAGCGGATTCACATGTATTGCATAAAGAAGTACCTGGAGCTGACAATTGCTCCAAAACCTCCAGGAAGGTACTAGTGCTCAAGCAGGTATGACAGTGTCTTCGGCCATTCACCTGGTATTGCAGCTCCAAGGCCTAAAGTGTGAAAGATTGGGTGGAATTATAGTATCTAAAAAAGGATCCAAATAAGTTATGTCTAAATGCAAACACTAAATGCATGTCATACAGAAATGAAAACATACAAAGTGAATTGGAATGGACACAAAATTGGAAAGCGCTAAAGAGAATTGGAATATTGTAGCTTGCTTGTTTTGTTTTTCCTTCAGATTTGATAAACAGCACATCTCTAAACAGAAAAGCCTTTTGCTAGCTATTTATCTAACACACAGCCAGGGTCAGAGCACCAGCAACCAGATAGAAAGACTGAAACTGGTCAGGTTTCCAAACCTCAGAATTTGGATTATAAGACTGTTTGACTTTTTGAAAGTCAAACTTCTATAAGTATGATCAAGTTATAGAAAAATGTAGCAACTCTTACAACACCAAATTAGTTTCATTAAATATAACACTGAATATATTTTGATAGTATGTTTGTTTGGAGTCGAAAATTTTGCTATATTTTTTCTGTAAACTTGGTTAAACTTGAAGAAGCTTGACTTAGAAAAAAGTCAAAGTGTCTTACAATATGAAATGGAGGGAGTACCTATTTGGGGCAAAAACAGACCCGCTTCCGCCTGAAGCACAGTTACATTTTTCGCCCCAAAAAGGTTTCCACTTTCCAAAACTCTCCACACATTTTTATGATCATCAAAATTAATATGCAGGTCTCCTTATTTACATACATGTTAGATAAGGTAGTGAGTACAATTGAAAAGAGTAGGGACTTACATGCTCCACCGTCACCTGTTCAAGCTCAATACGAGTGTAGACATCATTCTTGCCTAGAGCCATGATATCACTGTGGAAACAAATAGACTCGAAATTCAATTCCAGTGAGCAACCAAAAATGATAGTTCAAACTAATGGCATCATGTGAACCGCACCACTGAACAAAAGGTAAATTGGTTCTATCGATTTGAAAGAATAAAACAGCATACCAGCATGGCAAAAGAAAATGGTTATGTATCAAACCTGAGCGAGTAGACATCAAGGAGAGCGCCATTATCGTCAACTATAGGAATTGAGCTTACTCTATCTGCAGGTGGGAAAATAAGCAAGTCAAGCAACACAATAGTTAAAATGGTGTAAAACATTATTTCTAAATATTACTGGACCAAGTTAAGCAATAGCATATGCAGTTCAAAACAAAACAAGGTTAAAGCCTTAAACGGGCATTAACAAACTAGGAACAAAGTGTTAATGCACATTCTCGTGTGCGTATGCTTAGTAAGAGTTTATCTCAAATCAAAGCTTAATATTAGTCAATAACTTTTGAGTTACAAGTCCTTTCAACGGCCTTCAAATGTAAAGTAATGTTGCCACCGCAAGCACTAAATTATCCAACTTAACTGTGCCATTTTCTAAATTAGGCAGTGAAGTAACAATGATAGAACTAATCATATCAGAACAGGAATATTATTTGCGTAGAATTAGGTTGTCCCATAATCTTATATTCCTTCAAAATGCAGACTTCAGTGTGCAAATGCCAAATAAGTCAGCTGCTATACTGCTGCCACATTAAATATGACGACAAACATCTCTGACATGACATTTGGTATATCAGACAGTATAGAGGTAGTACAGTTTAAGCTACTAAGTAGTACAACAAGAATTTCAGACTCTGGAGGTGTAGGTTTACTCCAAATTCTTTGTAGTATGTTATCAATGAAGGAAGCATAGATATTTCAAGGGGATATAATTTAGAGATAATCTGTAGAAAAAATAGGCATTCAAGAAAGTGTTCTTGCTCATCACAACAAAAGGTTCTCTTGTGTGTGTATCAAGCATTCCTAATTCCATATGCATCAGTTTTCTATCTTTATGATATGCTGACTTTAGAAATCTGATTATTACAAGCAAAGCTTCAAGATTTCTCGGTTTGGATTGTAAAAGATGAAAACTAATGGTACTGCCATAGGGCAGTCCATAACTGATAACCTTACCTAGCATTTGCATGTCAAGTAAGATAATTTATTTCATGTCTTTAATGTGGAATTAAAAAATGTAATCCTAGAAAGAACTAACTGATTGATTGTGGCCAACAATTACAATGTCACTGATATGTTCTTAAAAATCGGTAGGGAGAATAGTATAATTCTATGCATTTTAAATATTATTCAAGAAAAAACAATGCATTTTAAATATCAATTACATGTTACCTTCAAGCAGCAAATCCAGGCATGAATTTAGAGGAGTGCTTGGTCGCGAAGTTCTAAGCTGTCTATTGCTTGCCTTGCCAGTATGTGGTGACCATGTACCAATAGGCATACTGACAATCTGGTTTTGCAGAAATGAGTACCCTTCAGGCTGTTCTTGCAGCTTTGAGCAAATAACTAAATACAGCATCAAGATAAAAGTGAGCTTAATTTGAGGCTCGGATCAATTTAGCTGTCAGAATGAACAGTTGTAGTATTATTAAAAATGATTCCGTACATTTCACAATCCCTGGAAGGGTTGCAAGACCAAGCAAAGGCATCCCTGATGAATCCGTTGAGGGCTTAAAGATAGGAACTGAAGATATTTCATTTCTAATTATAGCCAATGCCACATCCCTTAAATTATCTGAATCCTTAACCTGAAGAAACATAAGAGGAAAATAATGGATCAATTACTAGAAAATAGAAATGTTCAAATAAATGAAATGAATAGGTAATCCCATCAATGTTGAACTTATATCAATACAGAAGATTAAAACACACTGCTATGGTCTTATTAGACATAGGGATTTGATCTTGAATAACCAAAGGCTCAACCCCTCATATCCAAAGTGGCCTTTATTTTAGCTGAATGAATCTCAACAATGAAATGTACAATCACATATCATACGTAAAACACAGGAGTTATCCGTATGTCAGCCTTGATGCACAACAGCATATCACTATCACTATGACATACAATTTGAGGAAATGATGAAGGAAATATTTATTAAGGTCATTGTAAACCTGATTTTATAATATCCACCGTTTTTTCTGTAATATCCATGAGTAATATTTAGACAGCAAATCAAATGAACGATATCTGGGAAATAGATGCAGATATACATGAATTAATGGCCTTCTCTGAATGGCAGCAACATCAGGTCCCCCATAAAACTGCAATTTTGCTTCTTTCCAAGCAGACACTGAATGCATTTCAAGTTCCTCATGGCCAAGAGTTCGAATGTTTCTCTGCAGCTGCAGACCCAAGAATTGATAAACAATGTAAAAGTGCTTATCGAAGGAGAAACACAACAATTTAGTCTCACCTTTCTCAAAATTAATACAAAATCGGATGCGGTTAGCATGCCTGTTACGGTTTGCTGCTGATCATCCCAAAGAGGAACCAAAGAAAGACCCTAAAACAAGAGAAGTGAAATTACGATGAATTCTTACAGTATTTGATCACACAAGGAGCAATCAAAATTTTTGGACTACCTACATACATGAATATGCAAGGACAAATGATAATTTACCAGAAAATTTTGCTTATTTAGCAGTGTTTTTCTTTGATGGAAACAATGGTGTTAGTTATTAGTCAACAAAAAATAAATTTGTTCTGCTAGAAATTCTTGTTTGATTGTAAAATGAAGAAACAAATCGATCGCTCCTAACATATAAATAAACAAATATTGCAATTATTCAATAACATGATAAACAAACATAGGAAATTTTAATGAATATGCAAACAGCAGGAAGTAAAAAAAGAAGAAAGAAAATAAATGCATAGTCCTGCAAAGACATACCTCATCATGCATGATTTTAAAGGCTTGCTTGACAGGAAGACGAGCATCCAAAACTGCTATCTGAAATGCATATACCAAATGTTATAATTGATATGGCCTAAACGAAAGTGCTAACTACAAAAGAATAATCTAACCTTGCTAGAAACAGGAACAACATCATATATGGTATTATGTAATAATATCTCAGAGACTCGATGGCGGAAAATTGCTATCTGCACGCCTGAGTTTTGAGATAACTGATCTGGGGGCATCTGCTTGAGATAATTGGAAATAATGCATAACAGACTATAAGTTATTAGGTAGCATAAATAAAATACACAAAATTACAAATGAAACTTTGATACATACTGTTGTCAGTATAGTACCCTCATCCATACTCACTACTCTGATGGAAGTTTCTGGCTGTACAACCGGATGTGTATTATCCACAAGAACTTCATTGCTAATCAACCCATATTCATCCCGTACACAAGGTTTCGTCTCATCACATCGCCAGACACCATCAACCAAAAACCGGTACTATGTGACACCAAAAGAACACATCAATGTATTGAAAGCAAAACACTAAGCACAAGAAAGTTGTATACAAATAGCAGGGCACTGGTATAGAAATCGACTATCTTCACATAATTTGATACTAGAAGTGTACAAGTTGTTTGCTAAAGCTAACATAACAACAGAAACAAGCAATCACACAGTGGCCATAAGCAATAGAGTGTCCAATAAAGAGTGAGTGGATTCTCTATAGAAGTGCATGGTGTAACACCAAATACTTGGAAAGTGCATTATACTCTAGCAGTAATATATCAGGCACGTCATGCTTGGCTACATTTCCAGAATTAAATGACGTCTACAAACATCCAAAATACAAAATCCAACATGATTATGAAAATTTCTGATATCTATCGCTATTGATTTTTTTTTAGACGAAAAGAACACTGTATTGATTGCTACTCCCTCGGTTCCATAATATAAGTGATACAAGGATTCAAATTTTGTCCCTAAATACAAGGGCTTTCAAGTGCTCCTTGTCCCATCAATCATCCTTCATTCAATTTTCTTCACATTTTATGCCAACCACCTTCTCACTTCCCACAAACCCCTCATTTAATAAAGAGCATCAAAGTCTTTTTCCTTCCCCCTTAACCACTTCAAGGAAACCTAGTACCCCTTATATCATGGGACAGATGTAGTAGATAAGAATTCGGAAGATATCGAAAAAATATAACAAAATGAAGGAGTCCTAATTAAGAAAGTAGATAAAAGGAAGATAAACAATATGGGGAAACTGGCATAAATGCAGCAAATCATATGTTTTGAGGAAAAAAATATAATAAATCAATCTTTTGAAATACGAATAACTGGAGATGTGGGAACCTAAAACAGATCTATTTGTATTCATGTGCCTTCACGACTCATTATGATGGCATTAGAGGACAATTTTGATGCCGCAACTGTATGGACAATCAAATGTGCAGCAGCCATCATGTAACGCCTACAAGTTATTGTCTGGAACTATGGAAACAGGGGAGGGCAACCTGGTCCCCACATACTAGGCATGTTCCTACTGTACAAGAATGTTGTAAGACTTAACGACTAGTTTTCCTACGGACTAAATTGAAAAGAATGCTGTAAGACTTAACGACTAGTTTTCCTATGGACTAAATTGAAAACATAGAGTTCTGCTTATCAAATAGGACAAACTCTATCATGCAAAAGCTATGCTATTTGAATTCTTGCGGTTATCATTTAAGTCAAACTGTAAAGCCACATGTGTGAAAGCTAATTTAACGGTTATCATATAAGTCAAACTGCAAAGCTACATGTGTGAAAGCTAATTAACGGTACAGCCAAGACAAGCAGTCAAACCAAGCCTCTATTTTTCTCTTTTTCAGGTGGTCAACATTTCAATATTCATAGGGGGGAGGGCTTCCTTCCCCTCAAAGTCCCAGATAATGTCCTTTGCTTGCATAGAGCTCTGTAATGAGTTCAATTTCAGTCAAAAGAAAAAAAGACCATAGCTAGTCATGGAAGTACCAAAGTAAAAATGTGGCATACATCCATTTATTTGACTTCCTTGTACTACCTCGTAGGAGTACATGGTTTTCTAAAGCACTATTCAATCTGTTGGTGCACAGGGCATAGAATGATGAAAAAATGAGTACATATTTTACCGAATAAGACATCAATCATGTCAACACATATGTACATCACTGAATCTAACGAGAGGATTTCATACGGCGGTCATGAGGTAATACATTTAATGGAAATAGTCAGTAAGGGGATAAGGTCCACATAAACCCTAGTCATCAACACTCAACGGCACTTGATACCGCGCACAATTCAGGGTTTAACCATTAAGCGTATTACCCAAGGTCGATTAGTACAGCTGCTATGCATAAAATAGGTCACTCCAAGAACCCAACCACACTACCTCCTATCTGTGGAAGGGACACCAGTCCCCGCCACGCATTATAAGCTCCAATGCATTGCGTGAGCACACCTCGGCGGCCATCGACGGCAACTACCAACTAACATTTGGATGCATTGCCGCCCAAACGCGCTTCCGACAAAACAGTCACACATCAAAGATATCAAAACAGAATCGGCGCACTAATCTATCGCGAATTAGCGTAATTCGATCCCAACCCCAAGCAATCTACACACTCATCAGGCACAAACACACAATCAAGAGCTAGCAAGCCTAGCACACCCATACCACAACCGGTGTAAAGAAAACATGGCATAAACAAAAACGCATAATCGAAACGAAGGAGTAGCCCGAATCCGGGGAATTCGGCTGGAAGGGCGCGCACCTGATAAACCCCGGGGGGCAGATCGAACACCACCTGGAACTCGGCCCCGACGAGCCCCATGGGGCACTCCCTCCACCTGCGCCCAAACACAAAAAAAACCACGCAGCACAAGCGCAGAAAACAAAGAAATTCAGCATTTCCCGCAGCAAAACATCAACCCGAAAAAATAGAAAAAGGAAAGATCCCGCCTTTCCCTCAACCCCCCCTGCCCAAGATCGATCCTTTTTCCCCTCAATCCCAAACCCACCCGGTGAAGCTGCCGCAGAAGGAGGCCCGCTGGCCGCCGTACGGCCACGCGAAGCGCCGCAGCACCATGTTTGGAGAAGCCCCCGGGCAACCACCCCCCCCCCCCCCTCAAGAACCCTAGCAAAAGCAAAGCAAAGCAAAACACCTAGGCGTCGACCATCCCAGCAAAGCAAGAACCCCGAACACCCCCCCCCCCCCCCCACGCCCACGGGATTGGGGGACCTGCAGGAGCAGCAGCGAGAGCGAGAGCGAGAAGGACGGTGGTGGTGAATTGAGATTATAAGGAGGCGGAGAATGAGGAAAAGAGGGAAATTTTTTGGCGTGCGTGAGGAGGGAGGCGGAGGCGGAGGCGGAGAAGCAAAGGGGAGGGGGGGCGTCGGGGTGCGTGTCACCGTGTGTGTGTGGGCGTTTGTTTTGTTCGCTTTCGAGAGAGCTTTGGGTTGGTGTTGGAGCCTAGTGTGTGTGAGCGTTAGTGTAGTGTTGTAGTATTGTGTTGTGGTAGGAGTGGGGTTTTTTTTTTTTTTGGGTTTTTTGGGTGCTTTGCTTTCACTTTCCTTTGCTTTTTGGTGTGGTTTGTTTTGGTTTTGTTTTTTTTTGTTCGCAATATTTGTGGGGGGGTTTTGAGAGGAGGGTGGTTTGTTGGTGGTTGAAGGGACGGCCGGCAGGTAACCATTAGACGTTTGTGCTGCTAGGGTCTAGGGGGTTTTTTGGTGGTTTTTTTCTACCATATCTTGGAGTCCTCTGACGTAAAATTAGAGGGACATGGGTCGCTGATAGGTGGGGCTCACTTTCATTGGGTCCACACGTCAGTGACGACATGCATTCTCCTTTTTTAAAAAAAAATTTCTTACTAGCTTTGTTTGTGTTTAGTTTTGCATGCAAAAGACTAGGTGGATATGCGTTTGCCAAGGAAATGAGTTTTAGAAAGAGCATTTTTTTTCCTGTTTTTACGTCATCACATGACTACATCGATAGACAGTGGGGGATCCAGAAAATTGATTCGCTGGTGTCATAACGTGTCTATAGATGTCATAGTATGCTAATCATACTTAGATCATGGTGTTATAATACATGGATAAGCAGTTTTACTGTAAGTTTTGCCAAAAGTCATCGGTGTTACCGGACACCGGCACTTGTACTGTAGATCTACCCCTGTCGGTAGAAAATATTAGATAAGATATTTACTTTGGGATATTTTATATAGTAGTAAACAATATGATGAGCTAGTAGTATATGCACAATGTACTAATATGTAGCTATGTTAGTTGTGGTCTTGTGGATATGTCAAAAGACTACGTGTAAATAGGCTGGTGGTTGTATCGACAATAGAAACAACACCGAACAGTAGCAATATTGACATTATTATGGATAGAAATAATACATCTGATACCAAGTGTATTCTGGGAGAAACGTGGGAATTTTTTTACTACTTATCCAAATTAAAATGCCCTTGCATGTAGTACTAACTGCAAGCATCATCTCCCATATGCAGAAAAAAAAATATGCATCTTCGTAGAGAGAAATAACAATAAGAAATACATGTATGAGGTAATGATCTTGAGCTAGTTGCATAAAGTTACATATAGCAAAACTAGTTGACGCGAAATTTTCTCACCTATAGTTTTAATCGTCGGCCAATATCTTTTGCCGTATGAATGAAAAACAAACCCTTACCATCATGAGAGGGTAACATGCAGGGGAGGAGGGTAAATATGGTCATCATTTATATCTCTAAACCTCAAATATAGGAAACCCTAATGATATTAGTGTAAGAAAGGAAAGAGATAATTGGAGAGGAGTGAAGGAAACAAACAAATATAAATTTTGGGTGTTAATGAGGAAATCATTAATATCGTGAGATATTTTTGAGCTGATTGCATAAAACTGGGTGTACCAACTATTTTGATAATGAAGGAGACACGTTACCAGTGGTAAACTGGTCGCCGGTTGAATTTTAGCACAACACAAAGCCTCCATCTGTTGGGACTATTTAATCACGCTAGTATTAATTATTACAAATCTTTTGTTTTTTACCAATTTAGTCACCAGTGTGTATATGTAGATATATATAGCTTTTTTTAAAGATAATGAAATAGAATATCCCAACAGATATAGTTAGGGGTGGATATCAATCTGCTGTGTGTTTTTCAAAGTTTTTTTTTTGAACTGAATAATTGTAAATATATTTTTTGGGACTAATACTATAGGTAGATGAATAAAGACAAGACGGTTTAAAGAAAAATCAACTTTCATTCAAATATATAGAACTGGCAGGTTTCCCCGCAATTTTATATGGAGCCAAATTTTAAAAGTTGATGATTTTATTGAACGAAAAAAAAACTAGCATACAGTGAGATAAATTTAGGACCAAGCCAAACAAGCTAGTTTTTTTTCCATGTACTGTTTCTTCCATTTTCTTAAGGCTGTCGCACCTATCTGATTCATCCTATTCAAATCAATCTGATTTCACAATTTCCCAGGATAACTACAAAAGTCCCATTTCTTTTCAACATTTCCTTGGACCTTATCCCAGAAGATGACACATCAATTTAAATGCGGTAATTAACTTGAAACAGAAGGCGAATAAAGCCGTTTTGAAACTTCGAAAGCCAGAGCTTAATTATATTTTTTTTCTCTCGATCACCCAAATTACTTCGGCGATAACATAAAAAATGAGGAACAAAGAATCTGCCACCTTTCTTCAATTTGGGCAGTTTATTAATCCGGCAAAACATGGGCTTTCTCTCAGGTGACTTGCCTTGTTTCTGATGTGACGTAATGTTAGTTTAATTAGTGGAGAAATATATATAATTATGGCACAAAGTCGCAAGCAACCAACCCACTGCTACCGGATTCTGCAACAACGACGTCAGCCAAGCAGTCATGATGTACGAGTAGCACATTACCCATGACTTTTGCGATTATTTCTCAGCCGTTCATCCAGAGAGAGAGAGAGAGAGCGCTTAATAGTAGATACAATAGCAGGCTATAAGCCAGCTGTAAACATATTTTAAGAAGATAAATCAGGAGAGAGAAGAGCAGCGGACTACAGATTTGTAGCCAGCTGTAGCACGGACTCCAAGACGCAGTGTGTCTGTGACAGGTGGGACTAGGTATTAATAGTGTAGTATGTAACTGTTGTATGAATGAACTATTACATTGGTAGATGAATTGCAGCTAGTAGTTGGCTATACTATTAAACTTGCTCTAATTTAAAGTCGAGTGATAACAGCGCAACATAATGTGTAGTATGAGTGTCAGTACTGTGATGACGTGCTACAGTGATTCTTAATGACTTCAAGGTAAGGAATGTGAATAGTGATTCCAAGTTACACATTATATATATACACTGTACAAATGAGTGTATAGTACTCCCTCCGTTCTATTTTAAACGTAGCTGTAAGTTGTTTGTGTCCAACTTTAATCATCCCTCTTATTTGAAATTTTGTATGATTAGCATTTTTATTAATCATCCCTCTTATTTAAAATTTTGTATGATTAGCATTTTTATTGTTATTAGGTGATAAAACATGAATAGTACTTTATACGTGAGAGCGTGACTTATGCTTTTTAATTTGGTAAAAAAAATCAAATAGGACAGACAATTAAAATTGGACACGGAAACTCATCGCTGCGTTTAAAATTGGACGGAGGGAGTAGTATCTTTAGATAGCCGGAGCGATTTGTAATAGTTCACAATGTAGTTTGTGCAAATATATTTCTTTAAATAAAATCCTATTTTGAGAATGTTTCAAAGAATTATTGATTGATAGCCAAAAGAATGAAGTGAGTTCAGTGCATCAGAACATCATTGCTGTTTTTTAATCACTCATTACGGACAATGGGGACAGAATGCTTGATTTATTACTGCGATTAATTTGACTTGTAGAAAACTACAAGGCCCAGCTGATTGGCATCTTCTGTTTAAGAAAGTGCTTGACATGGTCCAAGAACAAATGTATTTGAGTACTGTAACTGAATACTACTGATTAATACTACTAGTAAGTGACAAGTATTAATCAGTACTCCATCAATTTTAAAATACAGGATCGATCTATTCGGTAAAATCAGATGCGACTGCAAAGTAGCCAATACCTATAATGCCAAACTCACAATTCCTATGGCAGGCAATAGCGGCTGCGGCAGCTAGGGCAACCGAACAAGCACATAAACACTTTTGACATCTAAATTTTGTACCAAAACACAAACTGAATCCTGCTAGTGCATCTATCTCATCAACCGCTCCTCATCCAAGTATGTCCTGAAATTAGCATATATTGTAATGATTCTGAGTTCTGCCTGTGAAGTTTCACTAAATAAATATAGTTTTAATCCATAAGAATTTGTAACTAAAAGAGTATAGTTTTAAAGTGATCCACTATACTCTTTAATACTATCTTCTCTTTCTTCTCATTTTTAGTCACTAAACCTTCATTCTCCTTGTTTTCTCTCCATATTAATATAATAAACGGTATAATAGTATTTTTAATCTCTTTTTAAATATGACTAGCTAAAGCTACATTTATTTAGGAACAAAACCAAACTTATTTAGAGACAAAAAAGAGTATTGTACTGCTCACTATGCTTAGTACCAGTACAAGATATGGTTTTGGATTAACAGAATCGAGGCTGGCATAGTGATTCTAAGGGAACGAGAGAAACGTCTACAAGAAACGAAGAGGGGTTGGCGATAAAACCTATATACTACTACTTACTACTCGTGTTGCAGCGATACGATCTTTGGGGATTGACCATAATTTGAACGAGAGGAATTGAAATACAAAGGGCTTATAAATTTGGTTTACGCCTTTTGGAAATGTTTTTTTTTTGACAGGGCTTCCAACCAAACCAACTCTAAGGTAGTGTTTGGTTTGAGGACAAAGTGGGATGGGTTAGGTCTATTCCTATTTTTTGGAATGGGATGATCCTGTTTTTTTGTTTGGTTACAGGGATGGAACGAACCCTGTTTTTTTGTTTGGTTTGAGGGATATAATGGGATAGAATGATCCTGTACATTGTTTGGATGGAGGGATGAAGGTGGGATACTTGATAGGGTTACCTATTGATATTAATTGGTGAGGTTACCCCCAAGAACACTATACAGTGCAAAATAATACTTGTCAACACCACACTATTTGAAAATGACCACTGTGAATTCCGTTTGTTCACAAACAATATAGCTCCATAAGTAATTAATTTTTTTTTATAAAACTTCATGTATGTCCATACTAATTGCTGCAGCAGCAGAAGGTTCACAGTGCACATATAATACAAGCCACACATAATAAGGATCATATTTTAGTCTTACATATATTAGCAACTGAAGGTCTTACACATAATAGCACATTTAATTCTTGTACATGATAGCAATTTGAAGTCTTACTCGTACTAGTAAGTTCTTTGCCTCCAACATATTGGCAGTTTAAAGTCTTACATAATAGGTAAATAAGCCAATCAACAACACATAATACCAAAAGAACTATCCAACTCATCCAAGAAGCCTATGTTGATCCAGGGAACTTTTCACTAATGAACATTGCAAACCAATGCATCTTGTTTTCAAATGGAAGTCCATCGAAAGCTCTAGCAATGTGAGGGTTGGCAACCAAATGAGCATAGTAAAATGATCTATGGACCTCCTCAAAACCAGGAAGGGTTTTCAATGTGTCAAATAAACTTTCTGGAAGCTTATTGTCCGGCTCGGCGACCTTTAGTATAGCAGAGGCAAGCTTGTCACCAACACTAGTGAATGCACCAATCAGCCCGTCATCTTCATTCTCTTGTGTTTTTACTTTCTTTGGCTTATTTGCAGATGATGCCTCCGCACGATCATCAGTAGTGGCAGGACCATCATTTTCTTCATCATTGTCATCTTGGACTTCCTCTGTTCCTAGGACTGAACTTGAGTCCTTTGCATACTTTCCTGTAGCCATGGTGCTACCAAATATTATAAGCATCTCACCATAGTGTGCAAGAGGTTTGTTAAAATAATCCGCATCAGCCTTGTGATCCTTCAGAAACAACAGTTATTGCATAAGCAAATGCAATAAAAAGTTACAAAAATGAAACAAAGAACCCACAAGGTAAGACATATACTTCAATATAACCATTGTAGTGCTCATCATCAAGAGTAATAATAAAATTTTTCTCATCCCAACCAGCAGCACCCACTTTCCTAAGCCTATTTATCTTTGAAAACTTTCTTTGCCATGTCTTCAAATGGTTCTTAATTTGCTCACCCGTGAGAGTACTATTGAACCTTTCATTGACCGCCCTAGCATATGCATTGAGATGGACAGCCTTGAAGCCAGATGAGGTCCTTGTGCCACCGGCAACAACATTAGCTAGGTGAGAAAGCATGAAATAGGACATAGCTGAGGTCCATGAAGCATAGGTGCTTCCTCCCTTGCCACTGTTGTTGTCCATTTCCTACCTATCATAAAATGAAACAAAAATGTCCATTCAGTAATATATATATCAATAAAATATGCATGCAACAATATATCAATTCAGAAAATAACCTCTCAGTTATATATGTGATAAAAAAACTCAGAATTCAGCAACATATCAACCCAGAAATTCAGAATTCAGCAACATATCAACCCAGAAATTTAGTATTCAACAACATATCAACCCAGAAAATGCCCATTCAGCAAAATATCAACCCAAAAAATTACCATTCACCAACACATCAAACCAGAATATGAGCATTCAGCAATATGTCAACCCAAAAAATTACCATTCACCAACATATCAACCCAGAAATTAAACATTCATCAATTCATCAATGCAGTAATTCAGCATACAACAATACATTTATCCATACAACTGACATTTGGCAAATGGATTACAACAAGCTGTCCACACGAATTAAATAAATAAAAGAAGTTCATAATACAAATGAAATGTAGCAAATAAGGTAGAAATACAAGTTGCATGGCTACATATTACACTCCATGATGGTTATTACGGTCAGCCCACATCTGATCAGCTAAACCCTGCCTAAACTAAACCATCAATGCATGGTCATTCGCTTGGCCGGTTGACGATTCATCAATGTCCTCACTTGTCCAATCAGATGGAGCTATAAGCTCATCAATTCCGTCATTTATGACCCAGTTATGAATAATACAACAAGTTACAACAATATCTACTTGAGTTCGAAATGGGAAGAATGGAGTGGCATCATCTAGAACTTTGAACCTCCTCTTTAGTGACCCAAATGCACGTTCAACCGTATACGGAGGGATGAGTGTCTAAGGTTGAACAACTCCTTCTCATTTTGCACCGGATTATTCCCCCACTCTTTCAAGTGGTACCGGACAGCACGAAAAGGAGGCAAGAATCCTTGTTTGGCTCCATATCCAGCATCAACTAGATAGAATTTTCCTATCATATGATCGATAAGTTGGTCACATTCCTAAATATCAACATTTGTCATGGAGAATTTGATAAACTATAGTAATTTATTACCTTGTGGGACATGAAGGCCATTTTCACGTTCCAAAGCATCTCTTAAAACTACAGCATCATGTGTTGTCCCCTCCCAACCAGCCAGGACATAAGTAAACCGAAGATCAAAATCTACGGCCGCCATTACATTTTGTGTGGCATGGGACTTCCTACCACGAAAAGAAGACTCCACATTCTTACGAATAGAGGCTCTAATATGTGTGCCATCAATAGCTCCAATACAATCCTATTTTTTGTTCAACAACATTAAAGATTAGGGACAATATATCGATGCTCACATAAATATAAAATGAGATAGGGATGAATCTCACACCTTAAAGTAAGGATCCCATCTAGGATTTCCTGCTATTTTAGTTGGAGTGTCCAATGAGGGGGGTCTGATAAGTTCATCTCGTAGCTCACCAATTGCATGAAGGACTTTGTTGAAATAACGACTTACTGTTTCTCCAGACCTATCATAATTAGTGCGGACTAACCTATTTCTAAGGTTATGCCCCACCGTATGCAGAAACATAGCAACTTGTTCCTCAATACACATGTGGATGGTATCTTCAAGTAAACCACAATCCCTAAACAGCTTACAAAAACGAAAAAAACTTCCTCTTCTAAGTCTAAGCATATCAATACAAGTTGTATCATTCCTCCAAATTTTCGTTTCTAGATACTCAATTCTTATCCTATCCCTTTCAACCATTGGGCCATATCTAATACCTTCTCTCCTTGAACCTCTCGTTCTTTTTTCTAGACCGAATAATCATGGCCATCATTGATAACAATAAATTTGTAGCAGCAATACAAACTAAAAGCTTGGTCCTCTTATCCATCTACAATACAACAACAAAAATAACACATGACCATCATCTACTGTCAATAAGTTTACCTAAAAAAATAACATTATTGAACTAATTATACTACAACATTCTTGAACAACAGACATGCACAGATCTGTAAACAAAATCCCCATTCAGTGTAGGGATGGAGAGGATGAGGATTTTTTTACCTTGAACAATGGAAACCGAGCTCTGCAGTTTGTGGGTAGGGATGGAGAGGATGAGGCCTTCTCGTGCCGCCGCTTTGCCCAGCTCGCGCCGCCGGCTAGCCCCAGCTCGCGCAGCCGCCTCGCCCTCCTCGCGCCGCCGAGTCGCCTTGGCCACGCCGCTGCGTCGCCCTGGTAGCGCGCCGCCTCAGGCCACGCCGCCGCCTCGCCCTGCTCGTGAGGCGCCGCCTTGCCCCCAGCTCGCGCCGCCGCCTTGTGCGCTTCCGCCGCCGCCACTAACCCTAACCCTAGAGGTTATCGTGAGGAGGAGAAAACAGCGAACGGAAAAAAAAGGGGAGCGGTGAAAATAGGTGGTGGGACGCGAGTCATTACCACGCGAGCACGGGCGAGGAAGTGGGATGGCGCGGTTCGCCAAATTTTCCCGGATGGAGCGGTACCAAATATTGAAGGAATATTCCCTTTTGGAACCATCCTATCCCTTCTAGCCTCTCAACCAAACACATCTAAAAATAGGATGATTCCATCCCATCTCGGGATATCCCTCCAATCAAACACAACCTAAAATTGCAGAATCCGGTTTCTCGAGGGGAAACTGTAGCGAGAAAAGCAGCCGCAGCAGCAGGAGCGAAGGCGGTTGAGGGCTTGACGAGGCCCATTTTTACCTGCACTAAGGCCTTCCTCCCCCGCCCCACGTTTTTCCATGGGCCGTCGAAATCGGGCCTCCCAACCTGTTCAGCACTCGTCATCGCCATCGAAAACGGGCGCGCTCGGGCGCAGCCGCGCGCGGGGGGGGGGGGGGGGGGGGGGGGGAACGCTTGTACTCCATTTTCAACGGCGCGCGTGCGCGTCGTGCGTGCGGGCGGACGACGTACGAGAGGAGTGGAAGAAGTGGACACGCGGGCGGAGGCAACGAGACCGGAAGATTCTTCCCGGCCGGCCCGGCGCCCGCACGCACGCACGCAGCTCAATTATTGTTGCGACTTGCGACGATGACGGCGTCGGCGCCCGTGCGCTGACCGGGTTGGCTGGCTGGCTTGGCTTGGCTAGTTGGCTCGGCGCAACAATCCCATCGTCCCAGCGCGGCGTGTAGCGTCCCACGGGCCGGTGCGGCCGCGCGGACTAAAATTCGAAAATATACAATTCATATTTTTTTTCTTAGAAATAGTCTTGATATAAACTTTTTTGCACAAATATACTACCGATATCACTAAACCGTTACGTAAAACTGACGTGGGCTGACGACACGGACGGTCTCGCACGAGGAGGACGCGAGACCGCACGATGTTGCGCGATAGAGGCGCGAGACCGAGCGGTCTCGCACGCGGAAGGCGCGAGACCGAGCGGTCTCGCATAGTGAGTGTGCGAGAGCGTTTTAAAAATTAAATGATTAACGATTAATTAATAATAATTAGTGATTAATTATATTGATTAACGATAATTAATAATTAATCAATCGCTAATTAAGATAATTAATCACTAATTAATCATTGATTAGCGGCAAAGGGTCGGTATCTCTACTTGACCGCTCGCTCTCGCGAATTTGCCGCGCGACACCGAGCGGTCTCGCGTTTTCATTATACGAGATCGTAATATCAACAGTATATTTGTACAAACAAAATTACAATCCGAATATTTCTGAAAGAAAAAAAAATAAACGGCATATTTTCAAAAAAATTTCCGGCCGCGCGCGCCTCGGATCGGATGCCGCGGATCGAAGAAACTGACTCGCAACGCAACGCTAGCTACTGGTTTGCACCGGTTCGAACGAACAACATGGATATGTCGCGGTCGCGGTCTATGACCGGCGACGTGATTTGATGATCGGAGGAGGCTTTCACTCCAGTTTTGGTTGGTCTGCCGAAATAATTGGCTACACCTATATGGTATTTTCGGTCAGAGAAAAATTAGGGTCACTTTGGATTGCTGGCAATTTTTGCCCTACAAAATTTGGTATTAATTTAGGGAAAAATGATATTAGACTGAATATTCCTGTGTATATGTTACTGTTAAAGCTGAAAAAGAAAATGATACTCGAGATTTGGCTCCAATTAATTCAAATTAGCCTTTAGATACTCATATATATTATCTCAAATCTTATGAGATACAAATATAAGGGCATCACTATAACAAATGTCATATATTTGGCTTCTAATTAATCCCAAATAAATGTCCTGATAGGCTTCTAATCCCAAAATAGAGTCAACTTTTCAGGAAAAAAACATTTATTTGTGTTAAATCTAACATAAAGAAACATTAAGACAAAATAGACTCAGACATGATTAGATCGAAATGTTGCATTTCTTTATGTTGGATCGAAATGTTGCACTGCGGTATTTTAATGGTGTTTTCACATTTTCATATTCAATTCTTAAGGATCTATTTGATGTTTCATGTGTGACAGAAAAATGTTTCAATCTTTGATTCCGTTGTGTTTCATACTTAGGTCATGTTATAAATGCTCTGGCTAAATCTATTGATGGTGGGACAGGCCAAATTATAGCTTTGGAATCTCACTTAATTGAATCTCCTGTTACAGGTATAATTTCCAGGTGTTCTGTATATTAACCCCTTCAAACGGGGCTTATTGCTATCGATTGATTGATCCTATATGATGCGGTCAGCAAGAGTTAATTATTAGGGACAGACAAATCGGCAAAACGACAGTAGCTACATGTACTAATGTGTGTTTATGTAGCTATCGATTAAATAGCATCCTTCATAGCTCAAGTAGTAATTAACTATTTTCCATGAAGAGGAGGCCATGAAATACATGAAACTTTTTTTACGAGCAGTGAAACAACACCTGATTTTTAGGAAAAAGAATCGGATGCCTTATTTGTAGTTGTCTTGCCATTCTTCTTGCTTTTTCACTAGTGGAGAGCGCGCCGCGCCGACTCCCAATAGCACAAGTGGGATGCGAAGGGAACGACGTGTGGGAGAGGGACATAGCCGATTTTGTTCTTTTTCTGTTTGATAGTTTAGTGTGGACCTATTTTTTATTACTAGAAATTAAATTTTAGATATCTCTTGGAGAGATAAATCTATTCATACTTTAAAAATCTTATTAGAAATCATTAAAACAAAATTTTAGGATGGAATTTTGGCATCTATTGGTGATGCTCCAAGTGTACCTCAGAATAGAACATATGCATATAGGGAGGGCTTCATATTATATTGGGGTGTTTTTTTTAGTAAATATATTTTAGGGATAAAATGGACTTTGCAGTTTCAAATTCAAGAACTTCGTAAAGAGCATCTCGGAGGAGGTGAGTGCAGTTAACAAAGGCTAATGGTTACAAGATTAAAAAAAAGCATGCTTATGATACGGTATTTTACAGCTTGTCGATATCAGTTTGTATAGAATCTTTGACAAAACACAGTCTCTTTTTACTGAAATAGATCCATCCATCGATCCAATATCGATCCCTAGATAGTTCCCTACTAACCGATCCTGAGAACCCAGTGTCTCCTCGTTCCAGGACCGTCCAATAATATAATCTCGTCCAACAAATCTAAAAAACTTCCTGAAAACTACACCACCTGAGAGCTACAGTACTACTGCCAGTTGCAAGAGATGATATTTAGCTTGGGCACCATTTTTCTTTCTCGGAGAGCGATTTGGTGGTGTACGTATATGCATCGTCGTCAATATGGCGATTCTCTCTCGTACATGCATGGTTCATGGCACTATGGCAGCATGGCACTGTAGGTGCTTTAATTAATTTGGGATTTGGATATATACACCTCGATCGTATAAATAATACTCCTACTAGTGATTACTACTAGTAATTTGCATGCATATAGCTTGGATAGGAACAGTGCCGGCACCGGCCGGCTGTTTTGCTTGCGTGCGCACGAGAAGTCGCCGCGGTGTGTGTCCGGCTGGCGAGAGAAACGTACTTAGTACTAAATTGTTCTCTACTACTAATACTACTACCTACTCCATCCGTTAAAAAAAACGAATCTAGAATTATATATGATATATTCTAATACAATGAATCTGAACAGAGATATGTCCAGATTCACAGTACTATAATGTGTCACATCCAGTACTAGTTGAACTTTTATGGGACAAAAGGAGTACTTACGGCTCCCTCCGTCCCTAAATATTTAATGGAGTTGATTTTTTTAAACATATTTGACCGTTCGTCTTATTAAAAACTTTTGTAAAATATGTAAAACTATATGAATACATAAAAGTTGTATATTTAACAATAAATCAAATGATAGGAAAAGAATTAATAATTGCTTAAATTTTTTGAATAAGACGAACGGTTAAACATGTTTAAAAAAAATTAATGACGTCAAATATTTAGAGACGGGGGAGTACTACGTTAATTATTTGTCTAGCTCGTTAATTTCTAAAGTAAGCACCTAAATCCTGATAGTGCGTCTAACAGCTTCAAATAGAAGTTCCCCCCTCCCAAAAAAAAAAAAATCTTCCAATACAACTATACAAGTTAACCTAGCGTGTTAAGGCCAACCCAACCCTCCATACCATCTAGTGTTCATAGCATTTAATACATTTGTCACATAAACAAAAATCTGATGTGCCATGGTGAGAGGTAAAAAGATGAAACTATTTCTCATAAAGAAACCATTTCTACACAAGAGCAAAAAAATAAAAATAAGGGAATAAGTGGATAAAAGGAGAGAGAAATGAGTTGATTGGATGATAATTTAATTTGAAGACACCTAATTAGATATATAGTTTCTATACCTAGTGTTTTGTATGACATAGCAAATATAGAAACTATTTGATAGTTTCTTAGTTGGGGCCGGATTGTCAAGATCGATCAACAGGTAGGTTTTTAAAATTAAGATAATGGATAACTGACCGAGAGATCAATGAATAGGGGAAGATGGCTAATCCTACACTATAATGGAAAATGGATATAATAATTAATATTGTAAATCGTTCTAGAGACACCCTAGTCAGACCAGACTTTGTACTTGGACATCAAGATCTACAATAAGATCTGTTCAGATTGGTGCCAAAACAAATCTTATCGAAATTTGGTAATGCCAACATTTAGGTAAATTGGCAACATTGTCAATATTTTGATAGGATTGACTTGATATTTGGTAACAAACTAAACGTCCTTTTACTTTGTAAATTTGTCTCGTAGAAAATATCTTTTAACTGTGAGATTCAGATCTCTTAATACCACTTATCTTTTTCTTCTCGTTTTAGTAATCCAATCATTAGTACTCTCTTTTCCTCCTCCTTATTTTCTCTCTACATTAATAGAGGGCATCTTTTGGTCCATTGCTTAAGATGTCTCTAACAATTAAAACACCAATTTTTTTAAGGGAGGGAGTACTAATTAAATACTTTATCGGGCTTTAATTTCTGAATACATATTTAATCATTCATTTTATTTAAAAGTTTTTTTAAAATATAAAAAAATAAGTCATGATTAAAACACTTTTCATAAAACAAATCATAACAAAAATTAATAATAATTACACATATTTTTTGATACTTTCTTCTTTCCAAAATATATAAGGCACGACCAACTTTTTTCCATGTCTTATAATATAAAATGTGTATGCATGAATACATTAACAAACACCTCATTCTCCTTCAAATTTGCTTTGTTTTAAATCCTCTACTATTAAACCCCAATCATATTACTTGCATATATAGAGTTGATACAACCGAGAAGGTGATTAAATTTCTTTTTCTTGATCTTT